AAGAGAAAGATAAATGCACCGAGCGAAAAAACAGTCTCTACATGAAGGCAAGAAGACCCGGCTTTACTCGTCTCGTACACAAAATTCTGCGACAGGTTGTTTAGCCGCGGTCTCGAATACGACATTTCACCGAATCGTTCCGTGATCCCGACCTGAACGGGGCGGTGAGTGAGCGGTCGCGAAAGAAGAGCCGAGACGAGAACTAACTATCAACGAATGAGTGAGAATCGAATAAAAATTTTACACTCGAACTGTCACTCGACCGAGAGATCCATGAAGATGCCGACACCGGCACCACCATGCTTGTCGTAGTCGTCGTCGTCTGTTGTATATCATTCGGCTCCGTTCTCCTCTGGAAGACTAAGACCTGGACCCGCTGACTGACTGATGGTGACACGGACCGACGGACCGACCATCGTCAGCGGCGACACCAACAACACAACTTACGTCTCTCTTTAAGAAAACGAGGAAAAAGAAGAGCACTCAATGTACGGGGGAAAAGAATAAAAACAGACAAGGAAACCTTCGCTCCACTCTCATTACCACCGGTGTCTGCAGATACCGCTGGGATCGCTCGTTGCCGTCGTGCTTGTCCTCCGTGGCAGAGGGTTCGCCTTACAAAAGGTGGCACCGCTGGTTTCATTTGCTCTTCGGGAGAAAACAGACCGACAAGCTCCCTCCGCCGCTTATCTACTCGCGTAGCGTCTACCGAATGAGTCCGGTGACGAACTCACGAGACAGTCCGATATGAAATTCCGAGTCGGGTCCACCCCGACCAATCGGATCGCGTCGAGTCTGATCTTTTTCCCCATCGAACTTCACGCTTTTAATAATAGGATTGATCTCGCGGAAGATCCGGAACGAACTGACAGCGGGCGCCTGCCTTCGAAGAACGGATATTGAGAAGGTGGTGTGTCTGTTGCATCGATGTAGAAACGGTAGTGTCGTCACTTTCCTTGTTGTTTATCATCCATGTATCTAATCTCGGAGCTTTCCGAAAGCACCACTCCGGCTTTCTTCATGTAATTTCTTTCGTCTCTGTTTCTTTTTTTACCCTCGCTCCTCTCCTCCTCGTTAGAGTCGTTTTCTTTCTGGCCACCGATACGTATGCCTCTAGATAATTCTGCTTCTTGTCGTATCATATCACCCGAGGCGACATTATCAATGAACATGTCAACGGTACTGTATTGCTTCAAAGCATCATAACCTGACTTGATTTTTTATGCTCCGCGCGCTCGGTCTTTGTCCCTCATGATTGTTGGCTTGCTCTCCCCCTCGGAAGAACGAAGTAGGAGGTCTTAATCAAGATACCACATAGCGAGCACCTATCTAGGAGAGTTTCGTTTGACTGGAACCGAAAGAAGCAACACAAGATTCCGGAGGCAGTCGCAGTTTCTCGCGGCGTTTAGTACGAGGGGAAAAGCCGAAACTTATTAGCGGAGCGATATTGTCTCTCAGTGATCAACAAGCTCGAGACGAAGGCGAAAAGGACGCAAATGAAGGTCACTCCGAGTTTCGGTCGGATTATCCGGAATGAGTTCTTCCCCCTGGGAGAGTTCTTCGGTTTCGGCAGGGGGTCCGGAGATCTTTCCGTTCCAACTAGGGTCTAGGGTGGAGCTCATTAGATTGAAAAAACTCGGCATCCGTTAAATCGCCGCCCGATAGCAAGGTAATGCCTAAAGCACGCTGGTGATAATAATTTGCAATTGACTCGCGAAAAGTCCGCGAGGTTGACTTGCAACACGCTCCTCAACCGATTTCATCGGAAGATCATGATACTATCGGCAAGTCGTTCCAGAGAAATATCGCTTCACGGCGGCGTCAGAATAGCACCGTAATCTTCGATTATGAAGAGTCGAACTTTCTTGCTAAACGGAACGTCTCCGGTCGAGTCGGGCGCGTATCGTCTTGTATAACTATCCGACTCGACAGAATGAGGGAGTCCAAGCGTTCTGCGGCTTCCTTCCATCTGGGAAACAGCCGCGATTCTGACCCGTCGCGAGGATTAGAATGTTCAAACTTGAGCCATTCGTCTCTGGATAATATCGTTCATTCGCAGAAATGATCCAAACTCATCTGGGGGTTGGAAAGTATGCGCCTCAACCTGTGACCATTCTCCTCAAGCTCATTAGGGGACGTTTAGGAGGATCTGATAGCAGCGATTCCTCAATCAACACGTTCTCCTCGACGAGGAAACGGCGTCCTTTTTTGAAAGGCTATTCGCTGTGCAAAATGGCCGAATCAAGGAAATAAGATCAGCGCAGGGCAGGGCGACGCGATTCTCCGATCGGATCGGTTTAATTCATTGCGATCCTAAAGCGGCCGATATCGAAGGGAGATCTTCCACTCTCGATGAGACCCAAGATTCCGACGGAGGGGCTGGATTCTCGGTTCGGATCCGTTAGGGGCTTGAAATCCAAAATGGAAACCCGCTCTCATGCTTCAGCAAGAAGAAACAATGCCCGGGGAGAAGGGCTAGAGCCTCAAACAGCCCCGAGGTGGATTCGCTACTGCTTGGAGTGGTCAGGCAGCGAGATCCTTCCGATACTCAAGGTCCTCGGAGCCTCTCTCTATTGATGAGTCATATGATGGCGGAGGGGGTCCCCGGGATCCGCGTCTCATTCCTGACAGAGTCGAGCGACGGAGATAAGGATCAGATTTTTCGGGAATGGACTCCAATTCGAAAATATAATATAAGGAACAAACAGGAGCTCGGAAAGTCGGGGTAACCTGCTCGACTTCGCGCAAGGTGCTGAGGCTATGAGTCATCGAATCGCTTCGAGTTCAGAACGAGGTCCAGCTCGAGAAAGTCTTTGCTGTTCAGCCTCAACAGGCGATCCGATAAGGGTACGGGGAATACTCGACAGTGAAATTGCTTCCGATTTCACGCGTAGATTACACTGAACTCTCCTATAAGTGGAATTCGGCTCATCAGTTGCTAAACGGGGTGATATCGCTGAGGATCGCTACGTGGCCAGCGAAGCAGCGTCGGTTTCGAAATAATGGAAGCCAGCAGGAAGTTCCATCGGTGTGGAATTGGAAAAATGGAATTGATTTTCCGGATAGCGGGCCAGGGAAAATTCGGCGGTCCACCCCGGGCACCAAGCTCCTTGGGGCACCAGACTGGCCCGAAGAAGGGCTGCAGCGACGGATTTGTCGAGAAGTTTCAACTCTTTCAATCAAGACTGATCTTAAGATTCCTTGGCGTCGTAGATAAGGAATGAGTCCGAAAAAAATGGAAAATCGGGAAGTGCGCTCCGGGCATCAAAGAGGCACGGTACGTCACTGGATCGACAACTCTCTCGAATGAGAAAGAGAATCTGACCGTTTCCGGCTCAAGTATATAGAACTGGAAGCTCGAGGATAGGACGGGATCGGAAAGAGTTACTCCAACGGGACCCGCTCCGAAACTTTGCAACAGGTCCGGATCGGGCAGCGTGTGGATGCGCTCTCTCTGATCACGAGACACGTGACAGGACCATCGCGGAAGAGATTTCCGGCGATACGGGACCTTTAAACGTTTGCATGCGGTCCAGGAGAGACGCTCATGCGGGATCGGGTCCCACACCCAAGGAAACAAGTTCCGCTCCCCGCACCGAGACTTTCTCGCGAAAATAGGCGATTTGCCCTCGATTCGCTACGGAAAGCCGATTGCAGAATAAATCGTCGATCACAGCCGCATTGACATCGGGGCGACGGTGTCAACGACGCCGACGTCGTCTAGTCCCTGGTCTCACCATGGCACCCAACTGTCGGTGAGCGGTGTTCCATAGGAGCACTTCTCGTCGTTCCCTAGCGATTTCACGAAGACTTTCGGTTCAGTTCATCCTCAGAAACGAAACTGGTTCCATGCCTACACCACGGGGTAGGATGTCGTCTACTAGATGGGATGTCGTCCTCTCGGAGACTGTCAAGAAAGGTCCTCAAGCCACACCGTTACTGCTGAGGCACGATCTCCCAGAGCACGATGCGAGTTTCGACCGGCGACGTCCGCTGCGGAGGGCGGTTTGAGTCGAATTGAAGTAAGGCAAAGCGCCAACGTGATAGTCGTCCTTGTCACCGGGTATTCTATCACATGAAATGTCACCATTGTATCATAATCATCACCACCACCTATCATTCAGATTTGCCGGTCGGAAGAATATCTTCTGATAAAACCAGAGCCTATCATTTGTAGTTGTATCGTTCTAGCAGCATCATTGACCGATTAGCTGCAAATATTTCCCGAGCTCGACCTAGCCTGCCAGACAGCGTGACGCTCCAGAACGGTTTCCCGACCCGGAAATCGCGAATATCTTCCGAATCCGCCGCGGGTCAGTTCTTCCCATCTCCGACATCCTCCGGGACACATGACTTCGATCCGAAAGCCGATTGATTTATTTTGGGATTTCATTCGATTGATTCATTTTGAGGATTCCCAAGGAATCATCTTCTTGGGCGATCGATCTGAGTCAGAAACTTCTGTTCCGGCTTCCACATGCTGAGCAGTGCCGGCGGTGCCATGCGTGTGCCGAGCGGCAGTGCCATGCAAACTCCACTCAGCAGACTTCGCTCGGAAAGTCCGTCTGGAGGATGATCGCGAAATCGAGTAAACTTTTCCGGAGAATGAGTCATCGCTATTCTAGCGAATCGCTCGTTCCGAGAAACTCGTTCTCGGAGTGCGGATCCGAAAGAGTCCAGCTTCAGAATATCCTTCGGATGGTCTTGGATCTCTCGTAGAGTAAATGTCGTAGACAATTAGCTGTTCCCGTCCCCTTCGCTGGGAGCCCTCCACGGTCTCGACCATGAGCTTTGGAAGAGGAGGAAAAGTTACCTAAAACGTAGGCAGACGTCGTACCACCATCAGCAGCCGCATCTCGTAGCCGCTGCGGTGCGGTTCGGTCTTGAAAGAAAGAGCACTTTCCATCAACACTCTCAGGATTGGCCGCCGCCGCTGTGAGGGCGGTCCCAAACAGCGCATGCGCGTTTAAAGCCTCTACCATACAGCATGCATTATGAGTAGTGGATGATCTGTCTGTGCTGGCTCTATCCGTGAGCAGTTGTTAGAATCGGTCGAATAGAATCTGTCGGACGAGCGTGCTCCGTGTAAAGTTCCCACTGTGACCAAGTGTGCTGCCACTGCACCAGAGTCTCCGAATTCGACCGAGACGAAGAAAGTAGCCAGGTAGGTTAGCTTAAGGTGGCCGTCGAACAGGTCGTGCAACGGTGACGTTCTGGCGCCCAAGTAGCTCGCAGCAGCGCTCGAGTACGCGGCCCTCTCTCGGTTTCTGTCTTGATAACGTCCGTAACGTTACAGGAGATTTGTCGTAGCGACTGACGGTTCTGCCCGTCGTCGACAGAGCTGCTTGTCGATTAGGTGAGTGTGATAGAGCTATCTTATCCACGACATGGCTATCCTTACTGATGTTATGTAATGTTATGGCCTATGCTACCTAGCGCTCATTCCGATAATATCGAGCAAATAGCGAGTCTGTCCGGTCTACAAATCGACCGCGCGGAACGACCCGGCCGCACCTATTCCTCGATCGGCCGGCCCTCTGATGCCGGAGACGTTCCCATGAGGAGCGGTGTGCTCTCGGTGATTCTGTCGCGTGTGACTTGGGATAGCTTTCTCCGCTCATCCGCTCGAGATCTGTGCTTGAGGAAATGGAACACGAACGAAGGAAGGATTTCGGTATATGTTCCTTGATCGGACACCGGATCGACGAACCGAGTGCGAAGTTCCTCCGGATCGCCCGCTGCCACGACTAGTTTCCTTCGCCCTTGTGATGTTCTTGGGGAGTTTCATCGAGTCTCGAGACTTGAGACCCAGCCCCAGTCTCGGTGGAGTATCTGTTCTCACCTGCTGGAGGCAGTCTTTGAGGGAACCCGTCGGATCCCAGTTCAAGACGATAAGGTCTAGGGGGACGAAGAGGATTCGTGAGGGGTCGGCCTTGGGTTGAGCTCCTTCTCGATAGCTTCCCGCTTCCCGTCCGTCTCCCGAATTGTCAGCGACGTCCCTCGCGCACCCGCTGCTAGAGTCGATGTGTTCGACCGTACGCCGAGCAATCGCATCGGTATTTCTGTTGAATATGAGCTCCCTGCGCCCATTCGATTGACGTTTGACGGTTTTCCACAAGTGTCCGGCTCCGGGTAAATCTCTTAACACCTGGGCGTTGCAAGGTCGCAGAGGAGGAAGATTCGGTGACAGTCCGAAAGGCTATAATCGGGATTATCCTCTGGACATCCGTAGTATAAAATACAGGCGCTCCGTTTGGAAGCGATCCCGCTGCACTCTGGCTGGTCGAGAGCAACTTGTCGATAGCCGTGGAAGGCTTCCCAATCGCCGTGCCGGATTACTGCAGTTGAATCGATCAGAGGGGTTACTTCCGAGCTTCCGATTTTGGACCGAAAGCATCTCTACGATCGGCTTATCCCGGTTTCGGAGAGCGGATTTCACGGTTTTCGATCATGTTCCTCCGGCGACCACCTGCGAATCGTCGGGAGAGCCACTCTCCGGCTCCGAGGAGATAGGCATCTATTGAAACGGAGCGGAAGACAATGTTGCCCAGTATGATGAGAGGGAGTTAGCCGTGGAAGGAACAAATTCCACGGTCATTCTACAGGATCTTAGCGCTCGGCTTGGTGGAGACGAGTTTTCAAGTGGCGACCACGGTTTTGCAGGCCTTCGACTGCTCTCTCGCGCTGCTATAGCTAAGAAGCGTCGAAGGAGTAAATGACTGGTCTACTGCCTTGCTGACTGCCAACCGGCCAGCCTGCCAGTCCGCCCGCCTTGGTTCACTTGCCAAACAGCAACCGAACCACCGAGCGAGCTGGCGACGACGGAAGGACAGACGAACGGACCAGCCGGCCAAGAAGTGAATGTGACGTCGCCATGAACTCGACACGACGATTCCTTCTTGGACGGTCCGGACTGCAGAGGAAATAGTAGCGGTTTTTGGTTCTAGCTTAAGTCAGCGGCTCTCGTAGGCTCCGGAAGACATCGGTAGTAGCTGTAGCAGCAGAAAGAGGGGGGCGGAAAAAAAATGTCCTCGGCGTTCTGAAGAATACCGAGCAGAAACTGACATTCCACGACGGTCCTCGGGGTCGAAGCCGTCGATTCGCCGGGAGTACTTCAGTATGACTGTCGAAATACAAAGAGGAGGAAGGATGAAAAACCATTTATCCGTGGCTGGGAACGATTAGATGTTCACCAGGCGTGGACTGTGTACGCCCGGAAATTCGACGCCAGTCAACTACATAACGCTGCCGCCGCTGCAAGATATTCCCCCGAAAACTAGGTATAGGAACTAGCTCCTTCTCCGAGTCGCAGGCGACGTGAATTTATCGTATCGAGTTTCGTCTTGCGTTTCCTTTTTTATTCTCATCATTCCTTGTTCGTGTGCGCCCACCTCGAACGTAGGGAGCACAGTTTACGAGGATCTATTGCCGCCGTAGCTGCCGCCTCCACCAACGTGTTGTCGTCGACGTCGCACTGCTCACGTTGATGTTGCTGCCGCTGATGTTGTTGATGCCGTTGTTGTCGCCGTGGCGGCCGTCGTTGTTGCCGCCGCTGGTGTTTTTGACGTGTTCGACGTCGTCGTTGCCGTCGTGGACGACGACGCTCAAGTCGCCGACTCCACGACGACGGATGGCGAACAACGAACTCACAATGCGATCCTTATCTATCTCGAAAACGTCGAACCAATGTTTGAGGCGGTAGCAGCCGGGAAGACACGCGCCGCGAGCGATGCAACGCTTCTCGTATCACACTGAAAGTTCACTCAAGGTCTCGGAGCTCATGTCGCATATTTTTCTGTACTCGAAGTATCGCTTGAAAGAAAAAATCCGCCCGAGAAAAACTTAACCGGAGCGTCTGATTGAATGGAGGCAATTCTCTCGCTTCTCGGTAATGTCTCAATTGTCGAGAGCACTAATCTTCGAGAGATATCGAGTGCGTCGATTCTGCCGGGATGATTCCTTGGAAGGATTCCTCGGAGTCCTCGGTAGACGAGATCTGTTCCGTGAATCGCCTTGAAATCTTCTTCTCTTTCTTTCGCAGGAGTGGTCAGGGATCTCGTTTTATTCTCGCGACCCCTTTAGCAATCTTCAAGGTCGTCATGAGGAAATTGTTGAGCTCGTACGGTAACGAACCCGAACGCGTCGAAAGTCCTGACTGGATCAAGGACGACACACTGGGAGTCGGCACTTCGACCCCACCACACCAAAGAAGTTCCAGCGGTCACGCTGATGAGGAAATGCAGAGGTAGGTCTCGGGATTCTCGATCGGGAACGCTTCATCTGGCCGGATGGTCTCGAAGCGCTTGCCCTTCACGAATGAATGTTCTTCCGCAGTGATCAGACGTCGCCAAAGTCTCAACTTCAAGAAGACTCGAATCTCCTTCACGACTACTCGCGGCAGCAGAATCAATCCAACCAGGAAAATCCTGAGGACATTAGGTGAGCGACCATAGCTTCCGGTACAGAGCGCCGTGGAGGCGCGACTTCCGTCCAAAATCGCGGGGAAATCTGGAATCGGCGCTGGGAGCAGTCGACACGCGACATGCCTTTCGAACAAATCAGAACTGGACGGTGCACCCTTGAAGGGTCGACTCGGCTGGCCAGATAAGAGCCATCTGTGGTCCGTGTCAAGTCGTCGTTCGGAATTCCCTCATTGCTTGTGGTTCGGGGTCTCTCCAGACGAACTTCCCCATTCGAAACGTTGAGTTCCGGACCGGATCGAGTCTCGTTGCTCACTTCCAGTAGAAGTTCGATAATGTAAGTCCTTCTCGGAGGATTTGAGGAGCGCTCAAGGAGCCCCTTTCCAAGCGAAAGTCGTTTCGTCAGGCTGTAGATGCTCCAAGGCACTCGAATACGAGCTTAGCATCTCGTGCAGACGGGAAATTTTACATGCGACGCTAAAACTGCGTCGTTTACTTCGCGGCGTCAATGACCCGAGGCCTTCGAGTTGCCGTTGCTTGCACCGTTTACATTATGGTGGTACATCGCCTCCCGAGATCCTCCCTCGGACTTGGAATGAGGTTCCCCCGATCGGAACGGCAGTCGATTCTTACTCCTGCTCGATAGTCCAAAAGGCGTGTGCTCCAACGACGAGGAAAATGTCGGCGAAACGCGGCCGGTGCTCGGCTTGCGATCGGGATTAACGTTCCTTCCTGTCTGCTTCCAGAAACTCACCAAAAACCGAAGATCTGAGCAAGAACGGTCTCCACGGAGACATCGCCACACAGATCGCAAATGATTTCAGTGCTCAACATTACACCGTGCCGGTGAGTAGTTTACCGGTCAGCGTTGAGCAATCGAATAAGGTACATATCGAGACTTCGGAAATCCGTGAATGCGATTAGCTTATCGATGATCAATACACTGATGATATCAATCGTAACGGGTAAAACATCGCCGATCGGTCCTCGACGCTCGCCACTCCAAGATTCTTGAATAGCTCCGAACGAAATAGCTTCAGGCGGATCAGAGCGCTGTCGGCGTTGCTGCCACGATCTTTCGCTTTTATTCCATTCCGAGTCGAAAATCGCTCGGAATCGCGACTGCCCGCCACCCGGGAAGTCCCCTATTCGTCATTCCAATGGTTAGAGTGACATAGGAGCTCATGAAATTCGAGACCTCGCCACGGAAATCAATGAAATGTTACTGAAGTGTCCACAATCACAAAACCGATGCAAATTGGATGTGATTTCTGACTACTGAGAAACACAGTTGGATTTCTAATAGCTTCTCGTAGTTTTTCTCCCCAATGCTGAGCTCGGCATATGAGCTCTCGATTTCTTCACAAGAGTGCCGATGAAGTTCGTGAGTTACATTTTCCGACGTTTCGAGAGAATTCCGTCGAGGGCCGATCCGGCTGCACATCGAGTACGCGCAGTTTCCGCTTCGGCGCACACATACGACAGAGCCCGTTGAATTATAGGTCCTTGTTTTTTCTCTCGTTCTATTGTTGACTCAACTACGACCTTAGAAATCCGAATTGATTGCCAAAGCCGCAGAAACGTGGAATCTCGCTCAATTCCGCCGGCGTTGACCAGCCCCGATGCAATTCGCGCCTCCTATGCCGGACTTGCTGATTTTCGGTAGCCTCGAATAGCTCGAAGGTCCTCATAGCGATAAGGCGTGGTCGAATAATTTTTTCCTGTTTCTTATCTTATCAGGAGACATACACCACTCAGGATCCAAATACGGACCCTTACGTAAGCGCCTATACGCTTGGAGAGGACCTCTCTATGAACTCGCCTCACATGAGTAAGTGTATCCATTTTATTTGCCTTCTCTAGAACAATTATTATGATCGATCCTCCCGTCGACTGATCGGGTCGCCATCCGCATGTGAGAAGTTTCGGAAGACTCAAAGGAAATTCCAGAAGGTTGCGCTCTCGAGATATGGATAGAATTGTGTGGTTATGCCCTCACGCCTTCTGAGAGGGGCGTGTGCGGCTCGAGTCTATTAGATCGCAGATTCAAGAGTTTCAATTTCCTTGTGTCTAGGCCTCGAAAGCACCGTACTCCGGTACCCCTCGAGTGGCAGCTCTAATCAGGCTTCCACAATCGTTCACCATCAACCGTTCAATCGCGATCTGAATACTTCTGAAGCGAACACCGTTCAGTATACCCAACATCAAGCGGACCCTGTCTACAGCCCACCGAGTCCGCAGTATACCGCTGCCAAAATGTATCACCAACAGAATTCGTTCTCGTCGGACGCAGCCTCGACACCGTCGTCGCCCTCGACGCCCCACTCCTCGTTCTGGCCAACACCGTCGTCGACGGCAAACGGTCACGAAATGCAAACGTCTGCGCGGGGGGTCTACCAGCCCTCGGCGTTCATCATGGAGCCGCCCGGAAACTTCGACGGATCCTCGTTCCCATACGGACCCGGAGGCGCAAGTCTGTCCTCTCGATGTGAGTTGTTTTCCCCTTTCTCGACTTTTTTTCCAGCGTTTGAATCTTTCCGGGTTTCGCCCCTTCCATCTCTCTGGTCGGAATCCTTCTACTCCACCTGTGAGACAGTAGGCGATCCTAAACCGCGCCCACCTTTCGTCGCGGTAGACACCGAAACAGTAAAAAGAAAACGCGACCCATTCTGAAATCCGCCGGTGTTGTTCTAGATTGCTTCTGTCGCACTAACCGAGAAAAGAGTCATTCTTTCTCTGGTCCTCGGTCTTTCGCTCTCTTTTTTCTCTACTGGCCGTGGATTTATAGCGGTATTTGTAGCAGGTCCACGCGGTGGTAAAGTATGCTCTGGCTGGAGCGAGGCGTTCAGCTCGCCTACTCGGCTCTACACAGAGCTCACCTCCCTACCGGCCGTAAATTGCTGTACCCTTGTGAATTGCCTCTGTCTTATCTGGACTAGGCATTATCCTTGTACACCATGTAGCTCTATTCGAGTGGAACGAAGGCCATGCTGCATGTGAGCACCGAATAAGCCTCCTGGTCTTGCGCGTAGCTCCCGATATAATTCTCGACCGAATCGCGACCGCGCACGACTCCGGATCTCTTTCTTAACTCGACGGAAAGGTCAGCATTGCTCTGGAGCACCCCCCGTCCGGTTTTCGCCTGGGTTCCGATATCTAAATATCAGGCCAGCACGTGCACGTCGTACGGCAAAACATTCACCGCTTTCTGTCGAGAACGTGAAAAACGCTCAGAGCGGAGGGCGAGGCGGATTGGAGGACTAGCGATCAATGAAATGCGGCGCCAAGCGGTACACATGCACGCACAACCACTCGACCTCTAGCCGATGGCCTTCTTGACTCTCCTCAAACATTATTGGCTCTCCCTCCCCCTCGTTCCACGCCTTAGGAAGCCTCCGATGTCGACTCCTAAAAGCGACGTTCTCTATCTCCGGCTAGTTCTTCTACTCGACGCCCTATCGCGACGTAATCAAACGCGGTGGGCACCGTACACGTGTCGACGGTGATGATCGGTCGTCGTACTCGATGATGATGATGATGATGATGATGATGATGATAATGACAGCGGTCGCGGGTGTGAAAACCTCGGCCGGCAATTTGTGAGAGGGGCACCTGATTTGAGTTTCTAGTCACTCAAGGGTCACCTACACAAATAGAGTCGTTCAACCAAGTGAGTGGGGAGAGGCGCACAGCTGCAATTGATCGCTTGCTCGAACGGTCTCCGCGTCGGTCGCTTTCAATGATCGGCGCTACTTCGACTCCTCGTACGCCTCGAAGAGGGAGCAGAAGAAGTGAAAGAAAAAACAATAGAAGGGTTAGCTAGCCCTTAAGTGGCCTAGCCATATCAAACAAGCGATCAACTCGATGAAGAGAACGAAAGCGCTCAAAACTAGCCATGAGTGTCCTACGCTCGTCTGCGAGCGGCTATCACAGATTCCCCTCGTAGCGGCTCATGAGCGAAAAGTGACCATTCGGTGTGCGATCAATGGGGCTAGATAGCTCCAATTTCGATTTGAATCAGATCCATCACCAGACGAACAAACACAGGAAGGCACAGACCTTAAGAGACTTAGATTGGGGAAAAATTGCATCGCCTTTGTCTATCGAGACAATAATTGGAGCCTCTTGCAATGTCGTTCTGGACGCGATAGAGCGCTTTGATCTGCCTCCGTCCACGTTGAACGAGGGCCGAGAAGCGTTTACGGATAGACCGAGAGGCGTTCGGACTCAGCTCACTCGGAAATTCGGGGTGGCTTTTCCCTCGACGAATGGAACGAATCGGAAAATTCCGAAAGGCAACGACGGAGAGACTCGGCCGAGAAAAAAACAATGCGGACCTAATGCGTCCATGTGGCTCTATGACATGTTCCTGTCTCTTCATCCTCCAATCTATTCATCCGTATATTCGCGCCTCCTCGTAGGTCCGTTTCGCTGTAATTCTAACGGTTGTGCATGGAGTCGAAACCAAGAAGGGAATACGACACGATATGATGAAATGACTTCTGGCCTTGTCAGTGTCTCTTCATCGTTATGAGCCTGTTGAAATCGCTGCCTGGTAGCTAACTGGCTTGTTGGATCACCAACACCGAGAAAGCGAGAGACACACAACATGCTGCTCGTGGGGCTGGATACTCGAATCATTTTTCTGTCAGCCAACCAGTCATCCAAAAGCAACACACGAAAAACAACGCAGACGACCTAATCACGATTTGACACTGCTCACGAGAAACATTCTCACATGAATCACAGCCGCTAACTCGGCTCCTTTTCGGGTGCTCTGTTTCTTTTTCTTTCGTTCCTCTACTCTGCCTTCGCTCCGAATTTCCCCGTGACCGAGAGTTACCTAATTGATCGGGACGCAAAGGAGCCAAACGCGGAAACATCGCAGGATCTCGCACTCTGAGCCTATGCTTCAAACGCTCGTTTGAGAATTATCTTCTTCGAGCCGAAATGATACCTAAGACCGATCTTCGAGTCTCGGCCTGAAAACCTGCTCATTCTTTCCGCCCTTGCTCATAGCACCGGTGTATATACACATGTCAACAATTCATACGCTCACTTGAGCGATGTATTCGGTCGCTGGTCCTAGTCGAGAAATCACTACGCCGCTCAATTACAAGAGGATCTTCAAATCCCGGCGAATCCCAAAGAGAAAGAAAAACAACAAGAAAGGGTTCGATTGGGGCGGTGTGACAGCTGAATCACGACATTGGCGTCGTACACATGGAGCTTTGACACGGGAAAACTGACTCGTTTGAGGAAAGGCAGCGGAAGAGTGTCTCGACACCGATTTTGGAGCGACGAAAAAAGCCGAGTCCTGCATTCGCTCATTCCACCGCGGGAAACAAGGAGTTGCGAACGGACACAGTCGCCGAACAAGTGATAATCGATTCATTCGCGAGGATATCAGTGCGTGCGCCTGGTGATCACGGCAGAGACTACGGAAGGGACTTCGCGGCTCCCATCCGGTTTTCCTCAATATTGCACCGTTGTCCTGCTCGAGAGATCGTTGGAAGAACCCCGAGGATGTTCCAATATGGTCAGCTGACGCTCAGAAACCTCACAGCTCACTTCGGGCCGCGAATCGACGCTCCGAGGCTGAGATCCTCATTCCATGAAATTTTGAGCCCAACACTCATTTTGGACACCCGAAAACTGAGGACAGGCTTTTTCATTTCAGCGGGCATCGACATGGAAATGTACGCAGGTGAAGGTCGAGAATGCGTCAACTGTGGCGCGATCTCAACACCTCTCTGGAGACGCGACGGCACCGGACACTACCTATGCAATGCCTGTGGACTCTACAATAAAATGAACGGTGCTCATCGTCCCATCATAAAAACCCCGCGAAGACTGGTGAGTACAGGCGGAGGCACGCTCTAAACTCATCCTGGAGATGAGTGCTCAATAGAAATTTTGACACTAAATACTATAACCCGTTCTAACCGACAAATGAATAAACATCTTCTCCTAATCGCAGTCGCCTTCCCTGCAGTCGGCGAGTAGACGCGCTGGCCTCACCTGTTCGAATTGTCAGACGACGAACACCTCTCTGTGGCGACGGAATAACGTCGGGGAGCCCGTTTGCAACGCTTGCGGTCTCTACTTCAGACTTCATGGGGTGAGTACGATTTTCCTGAACTTTATCCAATCATCCTCGAGACGGGGTAGATTTGGAACCAGTGTGAGATGTGCGGTCCCAGCGTGCGCGATATTACCTCTCAAACTCGATCTGTCTGCCTGCCTCCTGACTCGTGCGATTAGTAGATGCGGTGTCACACGTTGAGTCAGCGAGTGACAAGGTGACTGGGAGGAAGTCACAGACAAGTCCGATTGTCACCTCGTGGTCGGTCGGATATGTGTCGGTTCCATGAACACAGACGAAACGCGAGAGCGTTTCAAGAACCCAATCTCTCCAAGATCGACAGCTTTATTCGCTAATGCAACACGAAAATCAGCTCGGCACCAAAAAACGACCCCCTACATATTCTCTGGAAGTCGCTTTGTTTCTGTCCCTTGGCTAATCGCGACATGTTCCACTGGAGCTCTTCCGGTTTGTTCCACGCGATGACGTCTCAGGTCGACGGTATACATCACGATGAACATAAGGCTCATGAGACTTTGAAGGTAACGCGAGTTGAATATCGACACGTTCTTCATTTACTGATGAGGATTCTCCTGTCGGGATCTCACGAGCGGAGCGACGGGCGGAGGAATAGAATGCTTTCCGAATGTATCAGGTTACCGTGCGAAATGCATTTGTCATCTGTCTGTTTAGAGAAGAAGCGGAGAAATCATCATCGCGGTAGCGTCTTCATAAAACGATGAAAGAACGACTCCTTTCGAGAACAAGTGACTGACTGAAAGAAAGAGAGAGAGAGAAACAAAACGAGCGGAAGAAAAAATCCAGAGCTTTTCCATCCAAGATGGATCGACTGCTAAAGAGGCCTAAACCTACTCCCGTTATCCGTTGGGAGTGATGTTGTTTTAAACGTCGGCGAAAGTTTTCCTTCTCTTCGCTCAGCTCACTCCAGCTTTCCATCGTATACCTCCTCCCTCTCTATTCGACAAACGGACAGCAGCACCGCCTTCAACCCTAACGTATCATTAATTTTGAATTCTAGGTGCCACGTCCGCTAACGATGAAGAAGGACACGATACAGACCCGCAAACGGAAGCCAAAATGCTCCCCGAATCAACAGCAGCCAAAGCAAATGCATGAGCTAAGAGATTCCGCGACCGTGACAGTTGGTAAGTTCGGTCAGAATCTTCTCCCTGAATTCTGATCCCAACATGAAACCTGCCGCGACGCTCGCGCCCCTCTCTATAAACTTTGAATGATTTTCCAGCAGACGTCGACTCGCTGATGGGACCTGGTTCGAAGATGTCGTTAGTTTCGCCCGGACTCGGCCAAATGACCTTCCCGACTTCATCTCAAGCCCTGCCGTTGTCTCAAACCGTGCCATACTTGCAGAACACGTCACCTCAGACTGTTGGAGTGGGTGTTCTACAAGCCATGACCCCAGTCATGTCATCGCTCGCCACATCGCTAAGTGGGGTAAGAGTCAGCTCACCTTAAGCCACGTGCTATGTACCCCCGCCTGCCTGTATGGTTATTGAACATTCTCATCGAATGCCGCCGTCCGACTCCGCGAGTCTGTGGAGCGTGTATCTCGTTCATCCGATCGGTGGACGGGCCGCCCTCTCGGACCGTGGAGGATCGCTGGATTCTTCGGAAAACCTCTCCGCGGGGGAGGAATTCCGTGTGTGATTGACATTGATTCGAGCTCGCGAGCTCTGGCGATCTCGCTCTTCTACTATCAGGCCATCCGAGCTCGACGGTGACTTATTTCGCTAAGGTTATGAGTAAGCGTAGATTCCATTCGGTCCTCGCATCTCGACTCCGTGCGCGCGGCAAGGTACTCTGAACCGGGGAGGGGAACCATCGACCCCCAGAGCTCGGCTCCCCGAGAGATCAAGGTTTCTGTGGTCTTCCTTCACGTGTGTCTCTCTTCCCGTTTCAGCAGCCTTGAAAGGTGGTCCCCTTTCTCGCTTCCCCATTCGTGTCCCCCGAGCGTTCGATTGCCCAATTGCATCTCTGATCCGCAAAAGCCTTTTCCCTGTTGCTCTCTGTTATAGTTATCGCTTTCGAAGACTGTTCCCGCCCCCCCCTCGAACCGATTCCGCGTTCAGGGGAGATCGCTCGCGAATTCTAATGGTATCCGTTTGGTGGTTCCACGTATTCACGCTCCGTACCTGGCTACCACTAGAGTTTAGAAGGTGTCTTCAATCGATTCGAGGCGGGGTAGGTTTTCAGCATCGAAGAGCAATTTCCTATAGGGGTCCAGAAGAGCAGTCCGAACGATTTCCCCCGACGCTAGATTTTGAATCCCATTAAGTAGATCTACATAGGCGAGTTCACGTTGTGTCCCTGATGGTTTTCCTGAGCCGAGTTCCCAATATCATGCTAATCAGGAAAATCCGACAGAGCATCCATGTACATCCGGTTGATTCTTGAGCGATGCTCGCGGTGCGGAACGATTGATGCGGCGATCCGGAGGAGCGACCGCTTGCGTTACTGTTTTAAAAGTTTGTAATAAAGTCGAAAAGGTTGTAGATTTAAAAATTATTGATGAATGAAATCCCTCGTCTCCTGATTCTGCTACCCAATGCATGAGAGGCTGTCGGAGATCGGCCCCGATTCATGAGGTATTGATGCGCATGCTCAATCGTCGCGGCCCATGGCCAAAGGGAATGCCAGAACGTTGCGCCACTCTTCGGCTCCCGGAGACGCTTCATGTCCTTGCCCCCCTTGGCGCATCGCATTGGAACTCGTGGTTCGCCGCGAAGTTTTCAAACTCTAATGCAGAGTAGAGATTCACGGCGTTCACGAATCCTGAATTTCGATATCCGATCTAAATGGATGAATTGCGTAGAACTTTCGACGATGGTGAATCGATTTCGATTATCCCGGAAGGAGGGGGTCTTCCTGGGATCGTATCCTTGTTGTCCTTCATCGGTCGTATCCGTCGCCATTCAGAATGAGAGGAGCTGGCGGCGGAGATGAGTCTTTCGACCCCCTTCGAACGCCCCGGAGAGAAGGTGGAGAACCATCCGCCTCTGAGGGTTCCCTGAGAATCACTGTCTTCGATTGCGACGTTGTATCATCTGATCTGAATATTTTCTAAGAGTCTACAGATCATTTGTCTATCGAGTATGGTCGTCGGAGCTCGTGCGCGTCGTAGTAATAGAAATGATGATCAAATGATTACATTCGCGGATCCGCGGGACCTCGACGTTCGGGAAAGTCAATGATATCCGATTCCTCAGCGGGACTCTCTATCGACTCCACCAGAGGAATGGAAACACGCCGACGTCATGGGAGCGTGATCACGATGGATTTTATGCTCCGTGAAGCACCGAAAGAATATCGTTCTCATGAGGGAACCGAGAACGTCTGCAACTCGTCCGGAGTCCCAGTGCGATGAACACTTATCCAGCAGCGGCAGATCCGCCGATATCCTCGAATATGTAGTCGACAGATAGCTTCCCGAGGCATCTCTAAGGAAAACCATCTGAAGAAAATTTCCTTCCACAGATGTTCACGAACCCTCTGGCAACCACAGCCGATCCTCGCGGAGTTTCTCCGGGCAGCTTCCTGATTGGCGCGCAATCTATCAAAGAAGATGTAGAGAGGAACAACCACATGTGAACGCCATGCAAACCCGATCGAGAAGAGTCACATAAAAAGGCAAACAATCGCAGGAGCCGAGTAGTTGAAGTTTTCCAATGCCTCCTCATGCAGCGCCATTGTTGGTTGTAGAATTTGGTGTTTGTGGAAGTGTCCGAATGCTGCAGAATCAAGATCATGTTCGAGACCATAATTTAGCGGCAGCACGAAAATTATTCTTACATAACGAGAGCGCGACATTGCCCAGGATCAAATGGGACAACCAATGGAATTATTGTTAAGGAAAGGATGAAGAGGAAGTAATACTCTAAATCGTTGTAGTCTCGCGAAAATAGTTCAGCGAGAAGTATTCCCAATTTATGACCAATAGATAACATAAGAGTCCCGAAGAATAGGTAGCCGAAGACGAATATAAGTCTTCCTTTTAACCAATGGACGAATTCCGCGATTATACATTGAGAAGGCGCACGCTCTGAGAGCTTCGGGAGCTAGTTTTAAGGGGGCTTCAGGCCCTCGTCGCAAAAAGAAGAGCGATACTCCTGGATGTTCCGCCTAATAGACTCACTCAGGGACGGCAATTCATCGACCATTTTCGTGCTTTTTATTGGAGCGTTTCCCTCGGCGGATAGACAGAAGCTAAAAGAACAGAACTCAGATGATCTCTAAAACATCAACTTCTAGATTTTTCGAGCGGAAAAAGCGTATTGATACGATTTGAAATGGAGGAAAGAAACACAAATTTGGTTGTTATAATATATATATGTAATAAACTTGAGCCATAAATCTAGTAAAATTTCGTAGGCAACCGAACCGCGTGTTTCCTGTTTTGCGAACTGCTTCACCTTCAACATGAATGGGTTTTTCCCTGGGACAGAGCGACACGGCATCTTACCCAGCAGACCAAGTACTTGTGAGCCTCCTAGGCAAGACAAGGGTGAAGTTTTTGGAGTATTCAATTTATTCCAATCGCCAGAAATTTTCTTATCAACCCGTACTATTTAGGTTTGAAGGCCTTCTGCTGCATCGCCGACGCTAATAATTGTGAATCCTTTCGTCCTTGCTTGCTCTCCCACATTCTCACTCACGCTGAATTGTGAAGTCTGACAGTAAGAATAATTTACTCCGTATAGACCCAGAGAGTGAAACAACTCGCGTCTCATCACAAATGCTTGACTGATCATTTCGAAATGCAAAATGCGTCTCGACCCTATGTACAGAATGTTCATTGACAGAATAATGGGAACAAGGAACATACAGCCCTAGAAGAAATTCAACAACAGGTCTTCTGTGCTCGAAAGCTAGCCAGCCTTCCTTTCTCCTTGCCGACGCATCGCACCGCGCATAATTTGTCTCAAGGAGTTGATCGGCACCGTTCAGGCTGAGGGGACTCGGGTAGCGAGAGGTCGGAACGCTCATCATCGATTCGAGCTCATCAAGAAACCATTTTGAATCGACCGGGACCCGAAATTAAGATCCTTCATCGTTGGATCGGCGGATCGAGACTGTTTCATAGAGGTCATAAGTCATGACAGACATGGGGCAAGAAGGCATCAGACGGCTCGCATTCGACTTCAGCCAACGCTATCCTGAACGAGCTCGAATCTTTAGTTCAGAAGAAGCCCCGAGCCTCCTTAACCGTCTTTTTTCCGGCAAGCGAGCGGCGGCGCCTCGATAGAAAAGATCTTTCCTCCTCCTGTCATTAACTAAGCGTCTCGAGTTCTCAAAGTCGATTCGTATGCAGAATATTATATTTATCGTATCCTAGACTATAAAATGTGGAGCTGGTTCTTGAATGAAACCACAAAATACACTCCACCAACGGACTTCAAACCTCGGCTGATCACCTCGCGTCGGATCGAGGCCAACGCTTCGCTGCATCATCTCTTCGTACTAATCGAGTTCTTCATGAAGAAAAACATGAAAAAGTACGGGGAAGAACGTCCCCTGATATCATGTTGTGTTCCTTTCCGGGAAATCCAGCAGTTATTGCATCCTTCATCAATGCGGAACATTCCAATGAGTTCCATTACGATCGATAGAAGATCTTGATCAGAAAAACAAAGAGAAGTTTCTGCCCCGACCCGGTACGGCGGTTTGCTGTGTTCAGTCGGATTTGAAAATCATCACTGAGTAGCGCTGAAGATGAGTACCCTGCCTGATTCGGGCATTTCAATCATTGGCTAGACACTTGTTCGTTCATCGTGATCTTCAAGCAGAAATCACGAACATAATTCCGCCGATGTGCTTCGTCGACGCATACCAGGATGCCATATCGCCGACACTCGATATGAGTTAGCTGCGCGCTTCTGATTCCTCCTTTGTTAGCTGGCACGACGGAGCTTCCGAATCAGCTCTCGAAGCCTGAATTCGATCGTGCCTTGGCGGAATGCCCGTTTTCCTTCATATGTACAGTACCATCCATCCGAAGTTCCGTACACTCGCCGCAAGGAACCTCCGCGACTTCTGCTCGTTCCATATTGCATCGCTTGCATAAATTGTACGCATACTTCCGCCTCCGCTGACAGTCGACCACAAGAATAATCGCTTTGTTCTGGCATCCTACAAACATATCTACATGGGGGTCTGCGTTGACGCTTCCTCCCGAGGAACGATGCGAACTTGTGGAAGCGACGGAGAACCTTTCTGATTGGGAGGCGTCGGGGCGAGACAGCACTTCTGCTGTACACAGTTATTCACCTGTCGACCAGAAAGAAAAATTTCAGTGAGCGGCCTCCGCCAAGCGATTGGGTAGCTTCATTGAATGAGCGGAACGAGATCATATTTCACTGCGGATGAGGGAGGAGTCCCGAGCGGAGTCAATACCTCGTCGAGCGGACACTCCAGGGAGCAATCTTTCGAATCGGCGTAGTGTTCACCGGCACTGATGAACTCCGGTTGAATTGTCGTAGAATGGATGCCCTCGTTGTGGAAGAACTCTTTGACTTTCCCAGCGATTCGCATGTAGTCGGGTAGGCTACGGCATCTAATGTGAGCAGAGGCGATAATTCGTTCACCGGCGAGTTGCCAAACATGGAACTCATGAACAGCCAACACCCCATCGATTTCTTGAATCAATTTTTGCTGGAACGAGTATTAAGGGCTCAAATATCGACTCTTCCGATCTGCCGATTACGCGGATGTACGTGGTAATCACTGTATCCGGCAGTAGGTTTCTCCTTCCTCGCGGCATACGAAGCGAGAGGGAGATAAAAGAAGGAGGCATTACCTGGAGGGAGTCAATTTGGATGTGAGTCGGCACCGTTTGAAGTAGGATGAGAGCGGAATCGACGAGCAGCGGCATGGTGGACTTCATGATCAAGCAAACCATGATGAGGGACAGGGCCGGGTCGACGAAGAACCTGCCGAAGGAAAGAGCTGCCTCCTATATCCGGTGTTGAGCTCGGCATAAGTAATAGGAACCCCAAGTTGTAGCTTGCACGACCCTCTTCGAGGAGGAAGGTCTTCCCAAACAGCGGATGTTGGCTCCTGTTGAGCCTTGGTCTCCCATCCGGAACTGAAGCCGGGGCGAACAATGGTAACGAACCTGTATTCCCAATCGGTCTTCCAGATGATGAGGGCTGAGATAATGACCACTACTGAGCCGAGAGCATCAGCCAGGATGTGCAGATAAACTCCGCGAATGTTGAGATATCCCGCCGCCACGGGGTGTCTGAGCTGTTTCACGGCTTTTGTCTGCAACGTTGGAAAAGCTCGGTGAGCATAGGACGAATGTAGAATCAGTCACATGGAAAACCCATGCCGACATTGAAGCTCCTCGTGCTCCCTCGCAGTGCTAAGGACGAGTGCGTTAACTCGCCGGAGAGGCTCGTTCCTCTTCATAGCGATCCATAATTCTCACACAGACCAAGACTCGGAGTTTTTTCACGATAAACCTGACTTCGCGGTTAATCCCGTTTGGAAAAGTATCCCGAAATGAAAAGGTGAAAGCATCGTGCCTCAGACGGGACGAGAAGCTGACGCGGGACGGAGCTCGAAAGGAATGCCCCCGCCTCAGGATAGACGGGAAAGCTTGCATGTCAGGGACTGTAAGCCATGAGTCGAAACACAGAACAAGGAACAGCGGACGGCACAATCAGAGAGAAAAAAGGAAACCTTCCAAACGACTTACCTCGCTGTCCTAAAAATCAACAGAAACCCAAATGAGTGAAGTCGTAAGTCAGACTCTGACCAGAAACTCTCCCAACGGCAAAATACAAAATCGAGAACACATTGGCTAGTCGTTTCATTGACCGCTCCCGCGAGTGAGGGGGCGAGGCGGAATTCAGGACGCCAGCAATACGTGAAAAGTTGAGCATCCGGACGTGTATCGAATACGGTTGAAAGAAGAATGCTCAAGTTCGACTCTTCACGTCGGACTTTCATACGTGTGTATGCAAAACATGACATCCCAGAGAATCTATCGGGAGCTTGGTTGGGCCCCCTTGTTTTCCTCGGGAATCCCAGTTGATAATTCGCGACAATCAGCTGCTTTGGCAGGGGAAAAGCCTGGTACGTATGAGCGCGCCTTATAAAGCTTTCGGAATGGCGGAAGCGATCGATTAACCCTATGATCGAGTCTCCGATCGATGTTTCATAAAGTAGAATATTCTCGAAACTCCAGCGAGGTTCAAAACTCCAGAGCGAAGGCTGTCATGCTGTCATCGAGATCGCTGCGTTCCGGATGGCTAAAAACACGCGAAAGTCGCTCGCCGAGCACGGTCAGGTCTACAAAACCAAAAAGCCAACTCACCTCACTGTCCTACAAATAAGAAAAAAAAAGCAAAAATTAGTCGAACGTCACCACAGCGACAACTCTAGAACCAGTGCACTTCTACTGTCATAACCGCGGATCGTCATCATGGATCCAAGATCGATTAAGCCACCCGGAACTCACGTTCTTATTTCGGAAAACTCTACTATCGAAGACTGAGGAAGTAGCACCTCTCAGAAAATTCGAGACAGAATCTCCATCTCACTCTAGTTAGAGTGACTCTAATGAACTTCTAATAGGTCTACAAAGCCGCGTCTTTCATGGGAGCAAACGAAAGAAAACGATGTTCTAAAAGCGCTCAAAGCGCGACAATTCCTATCCTGAGGGAAATTTTCGATTGCAGCTCAAACTCTGGGCTCTAGGTGGGCGAGGAGAGACTATGCCACAATCGAAAACGACGTCAACTCACCTCGCTGTTCCGGTCGTCTTCGCTCTCATATTGGATCTTGTTATTGTGTTTCAAGCCGTTATCGATCGAAGGGACGCTCATATGATCTCTGGAAGACAAAGTCCTCGACCGTCAGTCTCTGACAAACGATACATGCAAGTTCGTATGTAAGAGACCCCAGGATAATAATGAGAGCTTCATGAGAGCATGGGGGCCGCTCATGGGGTGCTCAGCTCAGTTCATCAAGAGAGCGTACCTGTTGAGACTGGCAGGTCTCTTCTGTTTTAATGTAGGTGATCCATTCAACGATGGATCGTTGGAAGAATTGGGACTCCCTTTGATTTGACCTGTTTCGTGCGAATGACTGTGTCCATGTCCTCCATGAGAATGGCCGTGCTCTGCAACGAAACACGCGAAGCGAGGCTCTAAAAGATTGCCGATCAGGTAGCGTACGAGATTTTAGAGCGAAAATGCGTCGATGGATTCCGCGACTGGAGATCCCGTAGAATTGTCGGACACTGTTCCCCTCGAATGATTTCTGGACTCTAGACTCGGTGACCTTATCCTGCAGACCGAACCGAACGCGATTCAGCTGCGTTCTCAAGATTACGAAACGAAAACTAAGATACGCAGAAGAGAATCAAAAGGGGCACGTGTAGAAAATAGCCGAGTTTCGTTAAGGATAAAATGAGTTCAGTGAGAGTGAATCACCGTGGAAGAGGAAGAGTCCGATGATGTTGATAACCAGGCCCGCGACGCCAACGCACAGAATGAGTACGGGTTCATCAATGGTCTCGGGCTTGTAGAACCTGTAAGGAAGTTCTGTTTTTGGAAAACTGATTCATTTGCGCCGGTATTCAGCTATTCTCGAAGAATGAAGCTTGATCAAGACGAGACATTGAAATTTCGAAGATGTTATCATCATTACTGTCCGCGCCAGATTCTTTTTTTGGACTCGGATACAGGATCCGCCGCAGTCAGCGCGGAGAAGCAATCCGATCCGGCCGAATGAGGTTCGACGTCCCACGCGAACGAAAATGAGACTTCTTGCGAGACGCTCATTGAATCATGTACGACCAACAGAAGAATCACTGCTCACTGAGTGAGTTTGCTCCAAGTTTGGTGGACGACTGCCATGATCAGACGAGTTCGTAAGAAGTGATCTTCTCCCACAGGAGCAGAGAAAACGTGAAATATATATACTTGTCTGACCGCGTGTATCATTATCAGCGAGATCGATGCTCTCGAACGACGGATCAGCAACATCTCTCCAAGGAAGGGATCTTAGGGAGTCGAATCACGTCTGCCTCCTCAACGGATAAAAAACCGTGGAGCTTTGTTTACATTTTCGCGCCTCACAAACAGAATGTCCCGTCTTCCGTGCGTGACGCAACACAGAAAACTCGTAATTACGAGCACGTACGCCCCCCTCGCGAAAACAGGGGAAGAAAAACAAGGATCTCAATACGTCTGACGTTGAAAAATATGGAGGGTAGTGGAATGAGATCATACCGTTTTAAACTTTCAACAAGGATTGAGAAGCATAATGCCACCAGGAACACCGCATTTACCAGCGCGCCCAGCACCTGAAAACGAGAGTTTCGTGATGACAATATTTTGTTTTTAGGACGCATTAGAAGAAGGCGATAAGGCGTCCTTGCCCCGATCCGACGAAGCTAGGCTCAAGTGCAAATATTCACTGACCTCAGCTCGAGCCCAGCCGAAGGTGTTTTTCGACCATTTCTTCGGTGACATTTTTATGGACATGAAGGCAACGATCTGGAACGAGACCAAAAAAATTAGAGTGTATTGGGATTACCGGTCTGTGAGCTGCAGCTCCCCGCCAGGGAAACTATTTGAACGCCGATCCATCTTCCCGAACTACTGAGAAGGTGTTCTACTCATCCGCGAGCGGGGATGTTCATTGAAGAGGAAGATCCCTTTCGAGGACCTGGGTACTGATACTCCGCATCCGGATTCGTCTCAAGACTCGAGAGAAATCAAATCCATTGTTGTTCTATGTAGATTAAGGGAGATTCCGAGCAGGAAATGATTCCCTTCAGTCGCACAGATAACAGAAGCGGGAGCCGGCGAAAACGACTGCTACACCTCAGTCAGCGGCAAAGACGACGGTGGCGGCGGCGAAAACACCAATTATTACTGCGTCGTGTGCTAAGCATATCGCTAAGTTATTCTTCCTCCTAAATTCCGAACAGAAGCTCAAGGCTGTAGGAACTTTGTTCGAGTTCGTATGACAGCTCTTCCGTTCCACGGCCGAAGCAAGTTCCCTTGCCCGTTCTGGATTTCTGTGGGTGGACGGTTGGACGCATACTTCGGCGAGATCCTTCGATGAAAGACGGATGGAGCGGCTTATGTAACAAAGCAAGAAAGCGAGCGAGCAACGACGCGTCGTAGCAGCCATCGGTTGAGAAGTCCAAGGAAATAAGCCCCGTAGGGTTCGAAGCATCAGAAGAAGAAGAAGACGGAAGGGTCGCTAACCCCGGGAAAGTTCGCAAATACACGAGTCATGGAGCTATTTTTGGGGACCGGGGACGACAACTCTCTACAACATTCGTGACATTCGGATATCGTCACTCTCTTCTCCCGAATGCGGAGAATCCTACAAAGCCTTTATGAATCGTCCCGCGAGCGATACGGGAGACCATTTTCAGCGAGATTCTCCGACTCTTGGGGGAAAGGTGATTGAGCTCGCGTATAATATCTGAATCTCAAGGTTCGAGGCTGTCGGACTGCTTCCTGTCGACTCTGATCGTCCCTTAAGGAAGAACAAAATTCCAGGCGGAATCGAATGATGCAGCGGTAGAATTCTCGGAATACTAGCGTGAGGGAGCGAGACTCCGTCTTCGCAACACCTGACCATGAAATCCATTGAAAAATAATCTGGGTGAATAAACATAGCTCAGGCTTCCTCAGCGCGGCACTTCGTGAGCGACGAAGACCACTCGCGCGTGGAAGGACTGCGAACAGCGATCAAATCATGCGACTCAGACGCATTGCGCATATAATCTGTTATCTGACTTCCTGGAGGCGAGCTCTCTCAAAGGATGTTGTTTTCCTTTCTGGTAACACCTGCTCTAAGTGACAGGGAAACATGTTTCCTCCCGTTCCATACCGCGTGATAATGGAGACGCCGACGATCGTTTGGGAACACTCCTGAATTTCGGAACGCAGTATACTGTCGGCAAAGGATCTGCTCAAACGTAACCGAGCGAGAAGCTATGCAGTAGAACCGCAGAAGGCTGTGAGAGTCGTCGTTGCGGTGACAGAACAAGGTTTTCGGCCGAGCTCGATAGACGAAGATCTTCAAGAGGTGAAATCCACCAGGAAGGTGATGTCGGCCGCCAACAAACAACTAGTGGGTTCGCTTGCTTGCTTGAATTGGGAAATGCTATTAGCGCGACACATGTCTCTTCACATCCGAGCGTTGAACTCTGTCATCGATGCATCGGATAACCTTCGGATTCATCCCACGTGAGCTGCTCCAGAATCTCTTGGAACGCCATTACGACATTCTTAATCATGGTGTCCAAATAGCTAGAATGGTCCATTGTGAAATTCTGAGGGCTCGTCTCGATCGAGCCAACCTCAAGATCTGGGGAAAACTCTGATTCGTGATGACTGAGCTCGGGGGGGCTTTCGGGTTTAGGCGCCTGGCCTGCCACACCGTTGATGCTGGACCCTTCATCGATTACAGGGGTGAAGGTGCCTGAATTCATTCTCTCAGCACAGTCCGCGGGCTCTGGGGTTCCCTAGGATACAAGCTTTCCGTAATGAAGTAATGAATGGTTCCAGTCCTGTGAGCGGTCCAGTCTGACCAATAATATGGCCGACCTCTTATGGGAGACTCGGCCGCAGAACGAATACGCACCAGCCCCAGTGACTTGAGCAAAATCGAACAGTCACAATGGAGTGATCCTGTACGGAGGGGATGGAGGAGCTCATCAGAAGAGATAGTCGCCCAGAGATCGTTCTGGAATTAGCGGCGCACGGGAATGAGCGTGCACCAGACGTCGAACTGCAACCCGCGTGCGATTGAGACGGCCGCGGCCGTTCCTCGATTGGTTCCCCACTTCGGACACTGTCGGTGGAGCCGGCCACTCACTCAAATGTACGATGTTGGCATCAAGTTGCCACGATTGTACTTTTCCTGTTCGGAGATCGACGTGGGCTTTGGGCTTTGTTCCTAATGCTCGGAGACCCGGAATTTTTTGGCATCGTTCTCAAGAAAGCACCTGTTCAAGCCCACTGCTACAGATTTACTTTCATCAGCAGTCGAGAAAGTCTTCACCAAATGAGAGAACGGGCGTAGAAGCGTTTGTGGGCTGGAGCATTTGTGGGCGATGAGACGCACAACTGCGCACAGAAGAAAACGAGACGGATCGACAGACCGGAGAATCAACCCTTCAGTTTTCACTCGTTCGGAGAATACGCGCCAGCTCTCGACAACGACGTTCCTTCAATGCCATCGCTCCGAGAATGCACGTCAACAGCTCCGATTTCCGATACGAGCGATAAACAAACCGGCAGACCCAATCCTCCAATACCAGACTCCGCACAAGCATCACATACGACTGCAAGACTTTCAGGCGATTGCATCATGTTTTTTTTCGGTTTGCCGAAAAACACAATGAAATGAGCTTGTTTTTGACGACCATCCCACCGTAGGGCGAGATGACACCTCGAAGCTCAGAATCCGAGTTTGGCGGAGCTCATCTCACGCTAAGCGTGAAACGAGTCGCACAACGACGACGTGGAAAACCATCCGAGTGAATGATGCGAGAAAGTGTAGCACAAGCAGACTGTAATTTCCCGCCGGCGGCACAGGCGTTTAGGAATTAGCGCGCGTGTGTCGTCAAGCGCTTCGGACGATTTCCAGCCAAACATGACATGAGCCCGATCCGATTGGATCGACGAGTATATGTTATTTACTTCGGAAGAGCGATCGCTCCGGCGGACACCATAGAGATTCCGGGCGATTCTGTTTCCCTGTGTCTACCCGTGATAGTTTTAGACTCGTAAGCGGCTCGATCACGCCGCGTCAGGAGGGAGACAAATTCACATCGATTTCCTGCCTCACTAGACGCCTGAAGAAGCTCAAGCCCACCGTTTCCTGTGACGATACTTACAAGTGATACCACGTCCGACAACATGTGGAAGCTGTCCGCGACCAGAGCCATCGAGTTGGTCACATAACCGACTGTTATTTCCACGAGGAAGAAGCCCGCCGTGAGGACGAACATCATAATGAGACGACATTTTCTGCCCTCCATCGTTTCCGCCTGGTTGAATTGAGCTTTCGGAATAGGAAGCTGTGCCTGCAATAGTCGGAACGAGCCCGTCATCACTCGACACTCTACTGCGATAAAACCCAGTCCGGCTCTATTTATTCTGTGCCAAGCAATGAGCACCGTTTGAGGCCGCGTCGGTGAAAAATAATTCGCTGATGAATTCACTGTATTGAAAGCTCTCGTCTTGTTTGGCCGGGATATGACTAACCGTTGGGGGACTCTCTCTCGCGTCCTGGAATGAAGAGGCTCCTTTCTTCTGATCAGCTGGTATCCGATTTCCCTGAGTAGCCAAAATGGATTGTCTCGAACCGGACTTCTTCTTCGAAGCTTTCAGCGGTGTCCGAAGCTTCGAACCATTATCTGGCAGATAGATTCCCTGGAGATTTAGTAGCCATCATCGGCCTTGCCTGCAAAAGTTGAATAATGAGATTATTCTCCCTAATCGAGGTCATTCTATTATCAGCAGCGATGGAATCGGACTCGAAGCTGCTCTCTCCCGAATAGCAGAAATCGAGACAATTCCCCCAACTCTCGATCGGGAGATTACTATATGAGAGCAAATCGAAAGAGAAGCCCCGTCCCGGTCCATGAAAACAGATCAGAAGATGAACATCCTCCGGAAGGAGGAGAATGGTATTCTTGGATTTTCCCTCAGAAGATCTGCCACAAATCGCACTCTCTCCTTCAGTGTGTTCTTATACGATGAGAAGAGAAGAGATTCCAGATACGAAAGAAGCCCTCGTATTCAATCTCGGAAGCGCAGCCCAAGAATCCGCGCCCGACTCTGGGAAACTTCTTGACTGATGAGGACTGCGAAAACATCGAGGACTCTGTGCCCGTCGCCGGATTTTTCGGAATTTCATTCGTCATATATGCGAGACGCGGAGGCGTCCCCATCCCCTGGATGACATGAGCGATTCGTGAAGCCCTGGCTCGTTCTCCATTTCTAAAGCCTCGATTGGGAGCGTCCCACGAGACCGATCTCGGTCTGCCAGAAATGAAGTACCAGAGTGCCGGAATTCGATGAATTCAATGCACTCAATAGGATTTTCCCGCTCGAGGCTCAATCCACAGTAGGGGCCTAGGCTTGCGAGCGGGAAGAGCCTGAAAACACGAATTACGTATGCAGAGCACGACAGAGTAGCTACGATAAATATGTAAGGGCGTCTTATGTTTGGTTTGCCGTCGACCCGTACCAGTCCACGTCGTCGCGTCGGTAGCGGCGGCCAACGAGGCTCTCTCCGAGTACACGTACAGCATGAGTCGCTTTGCAAATCCTCGGGGGGAATCTTTCTTAATGCAAGCGGAACGGTTATCACGCTCAGAGCGGCGAGTCGCGACACTTCCATCAGCATACAGTTCAACAGCCAGAAAATAGTCCTTTACAAGCGCTCATTCAGTGTGATGTTCCGTGGCCACGTGGTCATCGGCGACCTTCATCAACGAGACGGCCTTTCCATGGAAACCGCCGAGTTCCCTCTTCTATTTCGGAGGGCATCAGAATCGATGACGCTTTCCGGGGCGTCAGACATTGGAGATCGTAGGTCGCTCCAACCAAGTGTGCTATTGAATCAAAATCCATCATAATGCCCCGCAGCACTCACTGATTGGAATAAGCACAGTCGCGGCAGAGGGGAGGGGGCAACAAGAAGCCTGAAATCTTCGGATCGACTTCTGAACGTTCTGAGCTTGACTCGCTACTCCCATGCTCGGTGTCCTCCACGCTCGTCCCCTCGATCACTGGAAAGTCTTCAGTTCATCGAGAATGATTGGGTTTGGGACGAACCGGCTGATTCCGAGCTCAGGACCGCTCGGGAACAGCAGCCGAATATGGAGGTTCGACAGACGGAGTCCCAACGAAATCTCCGATACTCCCCGAGCGATCCATTTCTCTTCTCGGGAGGGTGGGAAAGACTGGAAATAGCAATGACCTTGACACGGCCTGTTATGCTTTTGTAAAGGTTAGCGGCCGAAGCAGCCACGGCAGCGTCGCGGCGGCGCAGTCACATAAAAATTCCTCCTCTTCCATCGCTCCCTCCGTATCTCAACATCCTTCTCCTACTATCGTGTTCCGTAGCTCGACTGATTCCATAGAGAGAAAGCGAACTACAAAAAAAATGAAGGCAGCGAACGCTACGATGATGCCTCGATGTTCGGAGCTGTGACGACGTTTCCGCTCATTTCCGACAGGCAGTCGAACCCTCTGTCCCGACAGAGAGATGGACCGACGAAGCCAAATGAAGTGGAGGAAATGCTCTTCCCGTCCCTTCTCGAGAAGATTCTCACCGGATCCGAGGCAGAGGCCGCCAGGAGGTAGGAACGTGAAGTTTACAGCTGCCGGGGATTGTCGTCTCAGAATACGTGGTTGACGAGATTTGAGCTCACGCAGCCAAGGATATAATCATCATCGATATCGCAGTTCAGTCTCTTCCTCGGGCAACGAGCAAGCCGCAATGATCTGTTCCTCGAATTGAGCGAGACATAAAAGCCCCTCGGTCAACTCATTGAATCGCCGCAGTCGAAGGTCAATTCCTGACCCGGAAAAGTGGAGAAAGTCACAACTCTTCAAAGATCACGCTTGCCGAGAGGGAACGTCAGAGCCCACGAAGCGATGAATCGTGACGAGCCAGCTCTGTGTCAGCGGGAGTGCAGAGGACGTTTCTCTAGAGCCAACAACGTATATCCAGAGTATTTCCGAAAGAGCCACTCAGGCAGTAATGTCGAGAATCGCTTGATGGAGAGTTAAGCTCAAACGACTGGTAGTTTAAAAAGCCAGCGTCGGCGACGCCACACGCACAAGTGACCACATCCAGGGCAAAGCTGAGTGAGACGGTACTTGTAGGCTTGAGTAGTTCAACTATCCTCCTGATAAGATGCCTACCCGTCGACCTGCTATCCCATCGCTCCGCCGGCCAGTCTATCACTCATCTAGTCACCCCCATCCCGGTCTTTTTCGGTAGGCCGGGACGGAGTATCGATTTTAATTCGGTGCTTATCTTCACGCGTGGACCTTATCAGCCCGATTCATTTCTCCGAATCAAAAGCTCTGGAGCGACTTATTGTACATATACAACGCGTCAACTTAATCGATCGCATCGATTGCTCACCTCGAGCAAACAAGCCGGTGTCACCCAGAAATACCGGAGCGGCCGTACGGAAGCGTGAGTGGGACGATCAGACGCACGGAATTACCTCTTACATGCTTCGGAGCCGAGGCATTGGGACAGCGGCCCAGGCGACAGCAGCACCCTAAATTGTCGAATCGATATTCAAAGATTCGGCCGACCTCGACCTTCAAATCACGCCTGTCGATTGCGTATGGAGCGATGCTCTTCCGGATCCAATACCTCACGGATCGTGAAATCGTCAATTATGATGGACCGCAGTCCTTCTGTTCATTTGATCTACCGTCCGTACTTCGGAACGACACTGCATACGCTCAGAATCAAGGTACGATAATCATGTCCGATCGGCGGTTTTCTCTCCTTACGAGGGTCTGTGCGAGTCGCCATAAAATTCCGTCGCTTGCTCAGACACATTGCGGGAGCGTTGCCCAAGGAAAGACCCCGCGGATTCCGCGACTCGTCGACATCGAGTGGTCTCATTAATGGAATGAGGGCCGAGGTTGGGTAACATATTATATAAGATGAGCCGCCGGAGATATTTTCGGCATCAGAATTGGACACCAGAAGTTTTTATGCTCGAACAGCAACTGCTGCATACGAAAATCTATGAGACGGAAGTTCCTCATAAGGCCTTCGAGGCGTATTCTTTGTAATGGTTATCACATCTGAATAAGTGATTGTTCGATTGGCCGAAAGACACTCGAAGAATGCGAGCTCACAAACGAAAGAGGAAGATACCCCGACCCTCGAGATCCGTGACAATAGGGGAGATCGGCGAAATCGTATTCCGTGAGATGAGCGATGTGGAAGGGAACGACGATTGTTATTCGAGAAGCAATAATGTGCGAAGAAAACGCATCGGCGGGCGGTTTCTTCCTCGAGACAAAATCCGACATCGACTGACATTCGGAGTCTGAAGTTGACACGGAGCTTCTCCCGAAGAGACAGTGGGTCTTTGGTGGCCGTCGTCAACGCCACGGAGGCGGGTTGATACCACATCGTTCTCGACATGCGTTATGAGTGAAGTTACACATCTGTCATGATTCAGAGCGGAGTGATTCCGGAAGGAAATGAGCGATTGCAGCGTACCGATCAGGACCCCATGCGCGGGGCATCTCGGTCGAAAGCAATCGACATTTACCGTACGTGATTGTGAACCCATTGACGAACCTCTCTACCCCGCGAAGAACGAGGTCGCTGGTTCTCGAGAGACGAGACCGCGAAATTCGGGGACGGTTCGTTGTCTACCGGGGGACAGGTGAGGGAGTAAGGACTCGGACACGATGACCGAGGAGCTCCCTATTCCGCTACGGATTCGAAAGCGGAGAACATTTCGCTGTTCAAGGAGTCGGCTGATACGAATTACGCTGCTCGAAGCGGCCGAGAGACCCGATAGCCTCTCCAGGTTTCATTCTCTGTGTGATCACCGATCACCTCTTAGCTCTGATCACCTCGATGCTCATCCCAAGCGATTCGATTCCAATTCGACTTCTGGTTCAGGAGCCCCAATCTCCGGAATCAGGAAAATCGGCTAGAGAAAAGCTACCTGTTCTTGTCTTAGCCTCGTGAATCGATTCGACAATCGACCTTTGGAACCTCAACGTCCCCCTCGGCGTTTATGAGCGGAATCCGACACCGGCGCGATTTGATCGGCCTTACCACGAAGCGTATCTTTTGGTCGTGAGAGCATATCGGTCTCTCGGATTCTCAGAGTCCGGCGCTCTTATCGAGGATCATTCCGGTCTACGCGATTCTGAGTCATTTCCGCGATGCGGGGAATGACCAACGACGCGAGGATTTCATTGGCGGAAAATCGTGCGTCCAATGTCTACTTGCATGGTCGTCATCTATTTTTGAACAGCTCCTCTTCGGCTCACTCAAAGTTGAATGAAATACCAAACTACTCTGAATACTCCCCGAACGATGTCGATTCCTGCGTTTTCGAAACTTTCAGAGACAACGGCGGAACAGCGTTGGCGAGCTTGGAAACGGTGCAAAGTTTTGAAATCCATCAAATTATTCACCCATTTTTCTCTTCTCATTCATCACATTTCGAAGAAGCGGCGTCCGACCGAATGTACGGATTCAATCGCATCTCACACGCCCTTCCTTTCGGGCACAAACGAGAGAAATAAAACGAAGCGATTCGGGGGACGAACGGCAAGAAAGTTCATCGAGGCAACATTTTGACTGGGTTCATCGAAACCAACCTCGAGTCTTGCGCTTGACGACTCCGGAAGGATATTCCATGGATGGCGACTCTGAGGCCGTCTCGCGAAACGATTCGCGCGTATCACCAGCCTTATAAATCCTATCGTGGCCTTATACTATTCTCACTGCAGTGCTCTAGGAATCTAGGCTATGATGACCTTTAATATCAAAACTGTTGGGGGCTCGTTTATTCCGAGTCTTCTGTCAGAATTTCATACCCGTTTTCGAGTGTCGATGTCGATAGCTCTCTCGTAGATACTCGAGCCGTGGTAGATTCGGTTGTGATCTCGTGTTTCGGAGAAACGATTGGTGGTCGCATGGGCGACCATGTCCACATGGCCGAGCACGTCATCTCGGCATAGACTACGAGAATTCCAATTCAGCAAACATTGTAGCATTTCTCCGCGGAGAAAGCAAACTTATTCGAAGCTTCCTCTCTATAAGCTATTTCATGTCGGGCATGGGCCGTCGCGAAAGAATCTATTGCACCACTCACTCATGAGCGTAGGATCCGTCGGAATATCAGTATGATGATTGCGATTCCGTCAGCCAAAGCATGCCACAGGCGTGAAACTCCCGAAGGGTAGCAGCATGCGCCGGAGAACTTAAAATCCGCTTGCATCAGTGTTGATGTAGGGTTCAGGAACGCTTTTTGGGAGGTCTGATTCCGATGGGGCTTTTTCCGTGCAAAAACATTAGACCGCGGCTCTGGAAGCGCCAGCGAAGTGGACACCGCGACCCATCGAAAACCGGGTCTGAGCAACGGCTAATCAAGGATGCCGGATCGAGGGTCGAGTCGAATTGATTGCAGATCGGGGATGACACCGAAGCAGAGCCTACCGTTGGGGGACTCGATTCGAAACACCCTAATTCAGGATCATTTTTGGAATATGCAGGGCGGGCTCATTCTCCGTTCAAGAATGAATGAGAATAGAAGAGACAGACTTTCGATAAGTCTTCATATAAGCTTTTCGACGGAGCAAGAAAACGAGTACGGGGAACCGCACTCGATCCGGATCCCCGGAAAGGGCTGTCCAATCTTTGCCATAATCTTATCCCTCATTGTCGTGTCGGCCGACATCGATGGAGCATTCCGATCCCCTACCGAAATTGAAACGTTGTCAAACATCTCATCGGAAATCCTCTCATTCCACGGACAATATTCGCTCGTATCTCCGGCGAGCTTGCAAAAAGCCTCGCAGAGCCCCCGATACCGCCGAACTCATCGTCAACGTCTCCACCGAAAGGTCGCTCACTCAGTCCTCTTTCGGAATTACCGAACTCTTCGTGGTGTCGTCGTTCCAAAACACTCCTCGGTTCAGCGCGACAGAGCGGTCAAGAACGTAAACAGAACGCGGCAACTCGATATCGAACAGAACCGACGATCATCAAGCCAAACACTAAAAACGCTCTCGTGGAAGTTCCGATGCCTTTCCACAAACCCACACTTGCGATCTTCCAGGAATAGACAGACGTCACGGATAAGTCTGATTGAATCCTGCTCGAGCCGGCGAGTCTGGCCGAGTGACAGTCGCGTAGTCCCCATCAGCTGTAGTGGATGGCTGCCGGACGGCAGAAAACATCCATGGAGGAGCCTCGGAGACCGGATGATGAGGAATTCTTCCCCAGGAAAGCGAGTGTCTCATTAAGACACCGCTCGATTGAGTTCCGATGCACGGTTGATCATTGAATCGTCGTAGCACTCCGACGGTTTGTATAAAACAGGATGATGACAATCGATCGACCTTTGATATTTGAAGTGCTCACAGGCTCACCTTACAGTGAAAATCCTCCCTCGGCCTGCTCGTGGAGATCTTCTACCGCAGTTCCGAGATCTTCATCCAACGGAGTGGGCGAAGCGTAGACTCGAAGACCACTGATCACTTCACGGCTCTCGTATGATCTAGCACTCGCACGAGCACTCACTTTTCCGACGCTCCGAACTGTGCGTTTCGGTCAGCCATCTCGTTCCGGTGGTCGCGACTCAAGCATTTATGAAACCCGGTATTGAACTCGAAACTTGGGAGTTCATACACAATATCCGATCGACTCAGAAAAATTAGAGCTGACTACAGCACTGATTTCTTGCACTCCTTTTAGCTGCTGGTGCTGCGGCAGAAGCAGCGGTGGGAGAAGGTAACGGTCGTGCGGCTGCCACTGTACTCTGGGGTGGGTGATGCCCAACGAGCGGGTCCTATCGACTATGCTTGACGACACTAGCTAAACTCCTTGAGCTTGCTTGGTCTGCCTGTTTTGTTGCTGGGCTTTCCGTCTCACAGTCACTGCGCCCGTCGGTCTCCACACCGTCTCTGTAGGCTGATCCCGATTGTATGCTGCCTGTGTGTTCCGTGTGTTCTTAGAATATCGTCTGCTGCGTAGGCGAGGGCAGTCATAGCTGCGTGCGCGCTCTCGCCCAACCTCTCTCTCTCGACCGCCTATTCCTACCACTCGATCCCTTCATTTCATGCCGGTTCTTACCCACATCGAGGTATGCCCTGAGGTAGCCGGGGATGGGAAGGGGAGGATGAATCGGGACTGAGAGATCTGAGGAAGGTGCTCTCAGATCCCGCATGGAGGGGGAGCTTGTCTCCATTCATCCCAGCCCTCGGCTCACACGAATCTCATTGAAATCATCATTTCCGAACTTCTACGTTTCGAGTTCTGTCAAGGAGTCCCGATCCTGCTAGCTCTGGTCTCGTTAACAATCATGAATGCATGCAGATCCCTTTTCCGTCGAGGGATTCCGAATGACTTTCCGAGCTGGCTACTGCACGAGTAGCGTGATGGGTTGAACTGAGAGGTTTCATCGAAGAAAAGTCAAGCAAACCCTTCTGAGAAGTTATGCTGCACATTTCTTCCCCCAGACCTCTGCTATATGATCGTTTGTGGAGCTTCATTGATATAGGCTGGAATTGGAGAAAAGGTGAATCGTTTGCCTTACGCATCTTAGACCCAGGTCGCGGGCGGAGGACGGGGAACGGCCTTGCAAGAACCAGAGCTCTCAAGGAGGAGTCAGCCCCCACTTTTTTCGTGCTTTCAGAGATTTCTTCCCGACTCTACATTGATCCTCGCCCGAGCCCGCGAAGAAACCCATCTTCGAGTCCGGGGGACCGCGTCCCCGCATTTCGAAATTCACATCACCGAGAGCTGACGCCGACGCGGTCCGGGATCGATAGGCTCTCAGATTCCGGAAATCGCCCGCTAATGGAATGTGTCAGCCGGTATATCAGTTACGGAGCGATTCCTCCCCAGTAACGGTAGCACTACGAAGACTGAATTGCTTCTCAATAATTCCACATTCAAATTTCGACGTCAAGGACACGAACAAGTCAGAAAGCGATTCCACTCTACCAATGTTTCCGGAAAACGTGACCTTGGGTTCCCCTGCGTCTACTTCCGACTTCATAATCAATGCAGCTAATGAATCTCGATCCGTTCCGAGAAGCAAGCTCATGTCGTCCCGCTTCCGAGATGGACGCTCATAGACGCAAAACGCATGCTTTTTGACATGGAGTTTTGGTTCTCCGAGTCGTGGGTTTGCTCTGTCTTGGACGGCGTCAGTTGTCTCTCACATTGACGACGATTCCTTCTCAGCAATAGGAGATTCCGGACTCTATTTATTCGCAAGAACTGGAAAAATATCGCTCCGAGTGCTCAAAGTGTCTTCATGGTGGTGCAATAGGTGTCGATGATCTGATTTTCGAAGACGAACTTCTTCAGCTTGATGGCGATTCCCGCGAGAATCGCTAAGATACTGAAGTATTGAATCCAGGCGAATTTGAACATGTAAGCCAGTCCAGGCCTGAAGTTGAAAGGCTGTTCAACGGTGTTCAAGATGAGCGACATCTTGAATCCGCCAGTTTCCCGGCTGGAAACCCTCCACAGTTTGGTAACACCTTCGAGGACACATTTTGCTGTGCGAGGAAGAGAACACGTAAGAACACGCAGATCCACATCCGCATCTCATCCAATGGGTATGCTGCTCAGAGGTCCGCTCGAAAACGAGCGGGAACCCGGCCTTGCGTAAATCTTGAGCGTTTTAACGAACCTTTGGCTTTCGAATAATCTTTCAACACATCCTCCGTCGGGCGAGTGAAGTCAATTTCTCCGACGAGGTCACTGTAAGATTTGTAAGGCATCACAAAAGATGTCATCAATTTGAGATCAGCGCCGACCGTCAGAGATTCCCCTCGAGTCGGAGAGCTGTGATCGATCCACACCAGACAGTCGGCGACGAGGACAGCTAGTTTCTGTAAGGGAGAATCTCGAGTTCACGCGTTTCTGAATTCGATCGGCTTTCGGTCCACAGTTTTCAGACGTGCACCCGGGGCTGCAGTCATTCGTTCCTAAGAATAGGAGACCCTCGCATCGTCTCACGACTTCCACCCGGTCACTCGACGGGGACACCGATGGAAGACGAGGATCCTGGGAGTACGCCTCGGATCTGAGCCAAATCGACTCTCCCAAGACTCAAATAATTTACAGTCCGGGGCCCGAGCCATGGAGAACTCACCTGCAGTCGGGCTTCCATGCGGAGCAGCAGTTTGATTCCGGTCACATTCTTGAGATCGACGTCGATTTGGAATTCGTGGTGCTCTGGCTTCAGGTCCAAATTCGAGTCACTCACAGAATGCGAAATTCTCAAAAGTGGAGAAGTATTCGAGAGCCGAGCTGCAGAAAAAAATCTTGGTCGATTCGACGGTCTACATTTTTAAACTTGGTCTGCGGAGGGACGAGGGGAGAGATGCAACTGTTCAGGAACTGACCGGGTTGGGGTCTGCTCCAGAAATCGACACTCCCATTCGAGGTTTCGGTCACGATGAGATATTCTTTCTTGAAGTCAATCTTTGGTTGTTCGGAAAACAACTCGAGGCGGCGCCAAAGACCTGCGAACGAACGTCAGCGTCGGAGCTTTAGATCCTGTTTCTGCCCATTGTTCCTCGAAAAATTGCGAACGTTTAATTACTCCGCTTCGAATCCGATTCTCGGAGGTGTGGACATGACTCCCCCCTCATGCTCCGATCTTCTGGGAAGCCCCCAATGCCAGGAGAATCAAGAACGTGAATCATATTGCACGGTAGACTGGATATTCCCATAAATTCGACGAAATTGGGATTCAGTTAAATTTTGTTTTCTTCAAGATCGTATTCCCCAGACCATTCGAATACACCCTGACGTGAGTGATTCAAATGAGACGTCAATCAGACAGCGGCTTTCAAGATCTCTGAGGTCCGGAACTAGTCCCCATTTCCAACATGCATCTGAAGATGTTTTCACAGAATCATATTGCGTGGAGAATTATGTGCAGATGTGGAAGATTTCGCGAGGCACTTTCTCGATCGCACCATGCTCTCGGCCATGCGCCTCACCGCACCGGTATACCGATCGAGCCACTCACTCGAGACGCGGAACTATCACTCACCGTAGCTATGATGAACGAGTATCGCAGGAAATACGAGCACACATCCATAGAGAATGATCAGGAAAACGAACGCACTTGAGCAATATGTACTTCGATACAGATACAGCGAACCGGACCTGTTATGTACAGTGACCATTTCGAGTCTGAGGGTTTCGGTCCAGACAAGTTCAAGCTGGAGTTCCAAACCGGTGGCATACCATCCCGACAAGCGAGAACGCGATTTCCTCCATCAAAACTCCCTAAAGTCTCTACTTCCTCTAGCCCGTTTTTCAGAGTAAGGGGTAGGCCGCACGGGAGCAAAAATAGAATGTTACGTCTGTATCTAGGCAACGCATGGGGTATGCTGGGCGCTCGAGTGAGGCATCGTGGGAGCACCGTCCGATTCTCGTCAACATGACTGGGCCACAGAACGATGTGTCCATAAAATCGGCAGACTATGCGAAATTATTCGGTTGAATATGCGGAACCATCCGACAATGGAGACGGGTTTCCGATCCGTCGATCGGTCCTTCTCGATTCTAGCGCTTCATGAATAATAATTTACCGAATCATTCCGGGTAAATACAGTTCGGTCTTGAGGATCGACGAGCGAGACAATCTTCGAAACTCTATCCAGCCGGAACCAAGCGGATTCCTCCCTGGTGTTATTGGCAATGAAACCGATGGACAGTCGTGAGCGAGGGCGTCTCCTTAGGTTTGACCTAATTCAATGAGAGACCACCGGCGAGAGTGGAGGATAGGGATGAACTTCACGCACCCTTCCTCGAACGACCTTGGAATCGAACGAGAGATTCCTCCATAGCTTCAGATAGACGTCGATATCTTTGTTCGAACCGATTCATGGCTCTGTTTTTCCTCTGTGCTCTCGGGGCTCGGGAGCGTGAGCGTGAGCCGATGGCCCGCTGTTGTGACTACGAGCATGAGATGCGTTCATACAAAACTGGCGACTACCATCGAGAGAGAAATCTGACAGAGCCATATGATTAGCCCGGTAGGAGTTTCTGCGCTGAGTACCGCATGGATGAACTTCTCCGCTGAGGATAACAGAAGAATCATCCATGGACACCCTTGAAGTTGTATGGAGCCTCTTCTAGGTGCTCAACAACCTGGAGCTCGCTGTATCAAGCCGAGATCCTCCTCCTTGCTCGGGGATTCTTGAAAGAACAATCGTTATTTAGTGCGTCAACGGGCGGCTTCACAACTTGGGAATATGTTCGACAGCGGAACATCGCTTTCTTCGCTCCTGACTCAGGGTTGGAGCCCTCTGGGAGCTGATACGAATTACAGGAAGCTTGAGCTTTACGAGATGCAATGGCACGCTCAGTTACCGGTTCATTTGCAAGGTGAGCATATCTCGAGATCGATAGCGGAATAAGAAATTCAATTGGAGCCCTCGAACTCTCGCACACATGTTTTTCTGACTTGCAGATTTCCTCGTCGCGGTCGCGCCTTTCGGTGGAGCGATCGCTCTACTGCGTAAAGACAGGGTTGGGAAACCAGGAGAATGGATTCATGTTTTCTCGGCGGCTGGGAGTCCTATCAAAAACATTCGGTGTGTGGAAGAAGGAAAACTGCCGCAGATATCTCGGGTCTAGGAACTCATAATTTTTTCCGCTCAGTGGATTCTCACAAGCGAATCGTTTCGACATCTTCTAGTTGGGAAGGGGGAGCGATATCGAACCTCGGGTGGTCCGCTTCCGAGGAATTGGTGGTCGTCAGCGTCGACGGTTCTGTCCACGTCTTCCCCTTGGATCCTCACATCGTTAGAGTGAAGACCTCCTTCACACTAGGGAAAGAAGCCAAGGACCTCGGGGTCATAGACTCACGGGTAGGAAATCTTCAGTCACGAAATCGTAAAATAGGTCCGCCATCGATGCGGGGAAAAGCTCAATGCTGTCGCCGTTCCAGGTTTTCAACAGCCGACACAATGGGAGCACTGGCGTCGCTGTTTTGACTGCTGCCTACAGATTCTTCGTGGTGAAATCCCTGCAGGATCCAAGAACGAATGCCTTGAAAGAAATCGGACTCGACTCGCCCCCTTCTTGCTGGCAGGTCAGGAAGCTCATTAGGATCTTCGTTGAATTAAAGCTCTGCTGAGAAAAATCGATTCGGTAGAATTCGAAGCCCCGGAGAATTGAAACTCCCATCGACATCCCGTTTCCAGGTGGTATCCACTGCGGACAACCTACGAATAATCGTCGCTAAAGATACCCTCATCTACATCCTCGATGTGAACGACAGATCTCTGAAACAAGTTTCGGTGAGCAACCTATTCTCCGACGGACACGAGCTGCTCTGTCAGATAGAACTCATCGACGAGATTGTTCCCGATCCCCCACAGGTTCATTTCGACTCCGGAATAACGGCGATCACTGAGATGTGCTTGTCGTTCAATCAGCAGCAGTTGGCCCTGTTCGCGGACACGGGAGCTGTTTGGATGGGCTTGTCGGACTTGAGCATGAAGAAAAGCGAGCACAATACAAAGTGAGATCATGCCGAGTTTCTGCGTAGCATGCTGCCATCAAGCTCTTTGCCCTTCCCTTCTTATCCTTCAATCTGAGGGCATGGCGAGGAAGGGGATCCGATGCTCCCGAGGGCGATTCTATTGTTTTCCGAGTTTTCCAGGACAAGCTTCCCGAACACTTTGTGTCCTCGTGGCCTGAGTAAATTTTTTTTGATCGCCATAGGAATCGAGGTCGACCGAAAATGATGGTCTGGTGCGGAAAGGAGGCGGTTGTGGCGACCTGGAACAATCTCCTCATACTGGTGGGGTTTGAGCAACAGGATATGCGATATGCCTTCGATGAAGCCATCCACGTTGTTGCCGAGCCAGACGGCTGCCGCATCGTCTCCAACACCCGACAGTACCTACTGCATAAGGTCAGACTGAATTCGGCATTGAGCTGAGGACGAGCATGGGTTTCGATATCGTGGACGAATTCGGTAACGGCCCGCAACTCCCAGGTGCCGAACGAAGTGAACGACGTGTGTAAGCTTGGCTCTTTCGCGCCGGGACGACTTCTACTCGAAGCCTCAGAAGCCTACAGGAAACATCTGCACACTGCCGATGATTACTTGGCATCCATCAAAGAAGACGACCAGTTGGACGTTGCGGTTGAGCAGTGCATAAGAGCGGCCGGACATCAATGGGATGAAGTGAGAATCGACTTTCCTGCTCTGTGGGGTTTCGTTTTTATATACTTACGGCTCGCGCCAACGCACGTTTTTTTCGATCTGTTCGTTCCTCGAATTTCCGTTGGCAGTGAGTTTCCTCCCCTGTGCTTCCGGGGCGGTGTTGTTGGGCGGCACTCGACTCCTCGACATGCCGAGTAATCTCGATCTGGATCTTCTTCCCGCACTTTTTAGGTCACTCAAAAAGCGCTCCTGAAGGCCGCTTCCTTCGGCAAAGTGTTCCAGAGCGAGCAGAAAGATCCCGACGAATACGTGACCATGTGTAAAAAAATGCGGGTTCTCAATGCCATCCGAAGCCCCGAGATTGGAATGCCTTTATCTTTCCGGTCAGTAGCCACAAGCTGGATTCGAGCCACCTACGGAGTGTATAGGACTTCACCTCTATGCTGAGCTCTCGGAATTTCAGACAATTCGACGGTCTGGGCGAGCGGGTCGTGATCGATCGTCTCATCGTGAGGCAACACTGGCCAATCGCTCAAACCATCTCATCGTTCCTTAAACTGGGGATGGAAAACAAGATACTCGTACACTGGGCTTGCTACAAAGTTGAGCAGAAGCATCTCAAGACTGACGAAGTTGCCAAGGTGAGGGCTAGCATGTCTTATCAGGAAACATCAGTTAATTTCGAAACCGAGGCCTCGATATATTCCGACACGAGGGCAAATGGGTCTGCTGCCTGGCTTCTTCCGGACATATCACGGCAGGACAAGGAGCATCGTTCCCCATTCTCGCTTTATTATAGGCTATAGGTGAACGTCTTGCGCATGTTCCCGCCATTCAGTATTCCGAGATCGCAAACAGAGCCGCAGATGAAGGAAGGAAAGACTTAGCGGTTCTGCTCCTTAACTTCGAGCCTCGCGCCGCTGAACAAGTTCCTCTATTGCTCAAATTAACGAAACCCGAGGATGCTCTCATGAAGGCCATCGAGAGCGGTGACGCCGACCTCGTATACCAGGCCATCTTCCATATGAAGGTTCGTGAATATCTAGGCGGAAATTCCCAATCGTTATGATCCGCCGTGAGGATGACTTCACGGAGCGGATGCCTGCCGTTCCAGGACCATTCACCCGCCGGCTTCAACTTGAGTCTCCGGAAATTCCCCGTGGCACTGAATCTGTATCTTAAAATGTGCCGGGAAAACAATAGGGAGATCCTGGAAAACCTCATCGACCAAGAAGATGATCACGCGGCCATGGCGAAAATAAAGGTGAGGCTCATCTTCCTCGAGCCCAGGTATCGGTAAAGCCGTAGATTACTGACTGAGCTCCTTCTAACAGATGGAGGACGCGGCAGCTACACCTCAGCGAGAGCAGAAATTGGCGCTCCTGAAGACGGCGTCGGAGCAGTTCAGGCGGGCACCGGATGAGTTCTCGGCGAAACAGATGGAATTGCATGTGAAACTATTGACTATCCAACAGAAGATGGAGCAGAAAGAGCCTTCACGGCAGCTCTTCGGGAAAAGTCTCAACCATACTATAACGCTCCTGCTGAAGGTGAACGAGCGCTCCTTTAAGGAAAACTCTATCACCCGACCCTCGCGAGCAATTGAAATCTCATGGCTTGGTATCCGCTAATTCCAGGATGGAGAATTCCGAATGGCTGAAGATCTCAGGAGAGATTTTGCCGTCAGCGATAAGCGTTGGATGTGGTTGAGAGCCCAGGTTTTCGCGAAGTGCGTCTATTTCCTGTTTCTCATGTACCTCGACGTCACCGTATATATTCCCCACCAAGGAATTCGTTCAGCTATTAGGACGATGAATTTGAGAGGAGTCGTTGTTCGCAGGGAAAAACAGTGGGGTGAGCTTGAGAAACTCTCGAAACTGAAACGCATCCCATTGATTGGCTTCGAGGGTTTCGCGGAACTATGCTTGCGAGTGAACGATAAACAAGAAGCTTTGAAATACATCCTAAAGCTCAAGGAGGACTCCAAGGTTAATTACGTATTGAGGTGCGTCCAGCGGAAGGGATTACAATTTTGATCGATGTCGACTCCAGCAGGCATTGGAACATACGAGTTCGAATAAATCATTTCCAGGTTCACGGATGGCGACATCTCGAAAGCTGCTCGCTTAGCGTTAGAGCAGAGAGATTTGGAATGCCTACATCTCCTCCGAGAGAAGGCTATCGAGAAACCGAAAACGGCCTCGCTCGCCAATGAGATTGACGAGTTCATTCTCACCCTTAGCGCCAAAAGATGAAGGCAGCCTCCGGGTGCTACTTGGGTCAAATCAAGGAGTTGATGCATTGGGCTGATCTATAGTCTCCCATCTGAAAGTAAAATTAAGCGCTAGTTGCAGTCCCGATGGAGTCCGATCAGACTTGAATTCCAGAAACGAGAAAGTCATGATTGTTGATTCCTCGCGACTCACCGATAACGACGAGAGACGGTCGCAAGATGCCGTGGGTTTACAAGATGAGCTTGGGATCCGGTCCAATTTCCAAATAAATAACTGTGATTTATGATCAGAAGAAAACTTGTCGACGCTCTTCCCTTACAATCAGGCATTGACCGCTCCTGATCGAGCAGGAGTTTTATTGCAAGCGACGATGGCCTCAAACAAAATAAATATACAAGGGACTCGATGCATCCCCGAATCGAACCATACGTCAACAACGGAGGTGCGCAATATCGATCGAAATGGGTTGAAACTTTCAGATTGACGATTTCTCCCTGTTGGAATCCGGTACCGCGGGTTCCAACCACCACGAAGGCACCGTAGGATCGCGTCTCGCGTTTTCGATGAAACGAGTGAAATTCACGTATGCGGGTATAGGAGCGTTGGAGTGTTCGAAGCAATCTCTGCAATATTCGAAGAGAACCAGTCAGAACGTCCAAGAAGCTACAAGACTTACTCAAGCCAACGAGCGCCTCAGAGAACCGGATCCGCTGTTCGTCGCGAGTAATTGGAGAGGCCTTGAATCGTGACTCACCGTGAGTCATAAATGGACGACATGGTGTTTGAGACCGTACTAGCCATCGAGGATGAAGTTCTGGATGGGGCTTGAGAGGGGGGCCGATGCTCGAGTATGCTCTCGTCGAAGACCCTGATCATGATCGTCATATCCGGTCGTTCGTTTTGCGACCTCGGGTTGTCGGAGAACGCACGGAAGTGCCGACTTCCGAGTTCTTCGACGACGTTCTGAGACACTCGATTCAAAACATTACCAGATTGATCGTGAGCCGTGCACTTGATGAATTCTTCCCGAATCTGCTGACACAGACAGTCGGCGAGCTGTAAGGAGCGAACGAATCCTTTGGTCTTCGGGGTGAGGGTTTAGCGCCCAGACGACGATGACTAACGACGACATGGGTGTGAGTAACCGAGGGTTCTGCACAAACGTGTCTGTCAAGCTCCTCGTTACGAATATCTCGGGATACAAATGCTGACAAGGGAACGTAACGACTTGTCCCCCGCCGAATTTGCTGAAACTTTGCCCAAATATCCACCTAATGTTTGGTATCTCGGGATACTCAAGCTGAGTCTAAATAAAATCATAGCGAATCAGAGTCCGACCAAGCGCCGGCTCCCGTGATTCCTCCGAGCCCGGGTGGGTGCGTACTCACCTCCGAAATGTCTTGACAATTCGGTTTCAGATGACTAAGCACTTCGAAAACTCCAGGTGAGGCAAGAATTAGGAATTTCCAGGTCGGCTGAATATTGAGCACGAGCTCCTCGGGCTGAATCCGAAGTTCCGGCAGGCTGTATGAAAAAGTGGGGCTGACGTTCTCGAATCCGGCGTATGCGCCTCGGTTCATTTTTTGTTACAGAGCGCACTTACCTCTTCAGAACCGGGTGTCCTAAGAATCTTGTCTGACGCACCTCCGCCAAATCGAGATCAATCAAAATTTGGGCCCCAAGTCGCAGTTTCTCGTCTTCGTTTTCGCGATTGTGACCGCACGTGAGGACGGATGCGTCCCACGGATCTGATTCTACGTTGAGATGATGATGGGAAAGGGATAATTGAGATCGTTGCCGACATCATGTGTCATTTGGGCTCCATCGGAGGACTTGAGTCAACGATCGACAGACGGACAGAAACAGCTTTCAGGTTGGCAAATAGCGAAGCGGGATAGATGACATTATTAAACACCACGGCATCCTTCGATGACTCATCTCCTTACCCGCAGCTCCTTCTTTTTGGTGAGCGAGAACCGCGACGCATTCTCCAGCATATGATAAAACAAGTCGGTCCCCGACGGTAACGCACAGAAGTCCTGACGCGGTCGAATTGAGCTCGCGCTGTATGAGGGCCAAACGAGAGGGGTCGGCCAACGACTGCAGTTGGCTATCCTGAAATCCCAGGGAACCTAAGATATCGAGGACCTTGGCCGGGGTCGTCTACTGACTACTGACTCAATGAAAGCAGATGATTACTGGTCACTCACCAGGTTTTCTGACGCGATTTTTATGCGAACGCTCTCGAGCATGAGATCATCTATACTTGCTAAGTATTGCTTGTCAACGAAACTCCAGGCGTCCTTCAGCGTGCAAATTATCTGCTCAGGTGTTTGATTCATCTCTAGCTGCCCGAACAGGAGCTCAGCAGGGAACGTTAACGCAGCAAATTTCGCGCAGCGGACAGATCCTGAACCCGAGAACACGGCGTAAATACCGATGTCGTCCCGTCTGCAAACCATAACACGAAATCCGTTAGTGGCTCCATGAGGTATGCATATTCTGCGAGACATCGATAAGCCGAGAAGGTTCGGGAGCGTTTCCCCACGAATGTTCCGTACAGGTAATTGAATCCGATTTCGTGGAAGGAGTGCTTCTCTTTCTTGTAACCATTGCTTTGATAAAGCTGATTTGTCAGCGTTCCCAACCGAGACCGAGGACACACAGGGAGGGCATGGGTCCAATCATCTCCATCACTCATAGGAATCTCTTCCGGGAGATTCGCGAGGTTGGTCGGCATCGTCTACGGAGGGATCTGAAATTTCACAGCAGTCCGTGAATTCGAAAACTTCATGCGGCCTTGAATCCTCTTGGGCTGGATAGGTGAGCGAAATACAATATCGCCAGAGAGACTCCAAGAAGTTCCGAAATCCAATCCACGCATTTTGACTCTGCCAGAGCGGCTCGTATGACACGCGTCTTCCGCGAAGGAACCGGGAACCCCCTCCCAGGACCCGTAGGTATAGCCTCAGCTGCCGGTTCATGAATCCATCGAGGATTTAGTCATCACCAGAGGAGTGTCTTTAGTCATCATCGGAGAAGCACTGGGGCGGCTGGGCCGGACGCAGAACCCATGCATGTATCAGCGACGAAGGGTAGGGGGATGAGCTCATTTGCTGGAGCAGGGGACATCTCGGACCTTCAGATGCCGAGGCTTTGGGAGAGGGGTAGACAACACTATCGAAAATTCCGGAGATGGACCCCGCGTTCTGATCAGGAAGCTAGCTTCTGTGTAGTTCAATGCGGTATTCCCATTCGGTGCCGGGATGCGCGTCTCGACAAAATGACCAGTAAGGAGCGAATGACCACGAAATGGTCCGGAGGATTTCGCCTGGGACGGCAATTTATAGGAGAGCTTGTACCTAGTAGGACATACACTCGACATTCGAGGGGAGAGGAAGAAGTCAATCTGCCTGTTTCGAGTCACAATCGGCCAATTTATATATATATGTACATATATCCATATCCATGACTCTAACCGTCTGACTGACAAGCAGACATCTAGATCCGGGATCAACGGATCCTCAGGCCTTCCAACGACTGACACAAAGAGAGCTGCAAGGGGGTGATATTTACACAGTCTTCAACGGCCACGGATGAAACGAACTGATCGTGAACCGAGAGTATCGGTCTCGAAAGTTCTTATCTCCGAGAGGAGCCTGGATCCTGCGAAATCCTCCGCAAGGTCGCTCAGAAGGTCCGAGCGTCCGGGGACGGCAGCTCCCCATCGCAATCCACATTCTCGATCCCATCTGTCGATGGACCACTCTATCGAGACCGAGGGACCTAGGCATATTTTGATGATGGCATAATGGATGGTGATGATCCCATTGCACTGAAGGCTGCTCAGTCGGCCGGATCATCGAGGAGCCCAGCGAAGAAGTTGTTCTTCTTAGTGTTCATTGCCATCTTGAGATCTTGGCCCTTGCCTCGCTTCATCGAGGCTTTCTCCTCGAGACCTTCGACACTCCAGAATTTGACGAAGGGCTCTCCACTAGTACTGGCGACCAATTTTTTCTCCCGGTCGGCGGCAATGGTCAAAACAGGGAATTCCGAGTGCTTCCCGATGATTCCAAGGGGTTTGTTAGGGAAGAAATTCGCTGCGCGAATGTTTCCGTCCCCGCAGCCATAGACGACCACGCTGTCCGAGAGAGCAACCATACTGTCGATCGAGGCCTTACTGATCGATTTCATTGCGTTGACGATGTATCCGAACTCCTCCCAATTGAATATCTCGAACGAGCCGTCGCTCCCTCCGCAAACGATTTTTTTGTCCTTGACCAGCGCCAGGGACAGGAATTCCTCGTCGAACACTTCTGATTGCATTATAGTTTTCTTCTTGCGGATATCGAAGGCGGTCAGGGTTCCCTCAGCAGAGGCGGCCAAGAGGACTTTCTTCTTTTCAGGCTCAATAAGTAAATCCGCGATGTAATCTTCGCTCTCTTTGAACTCGTGGACGGGACTTTTATCGGAGGTCCGATGGTCCCAGATCCGCACGGCTCCGTCTTCGTCGCCAGTCGCAAATAACCAGTCGTCAATGAATGAAAAAGCGTACAGAGAGGACAGGTGCGCGTTCTTGATATCTGAGACGGTTTTCATCTCCTCGGCGTCTATCACTTTTATCGACTTGTCTTTGGAGATCGAGAACAAGAGTTTCCCATCTGCGTTGTACTTGATGCCCCGCGAGGCTTTCTTGTGAGCTTTAACTTTGCTCTTTAGTGTATTGCCCTGTGTCGAGTAATTGTAGACCATGATTTCTCCCTCTATGGTGCCAAGGGCGACAAGATCCTCGGAGGGGTGCATGGAGAGGCAACAGGGGTTCGACTCGAGATTCAGAGGAGGAGGTACATCGTGATCTTCATCGAAAGCGTCCTCAGCAGGTGTCGGAGTGTCGCTCTCACCATCATCTGAATCTTCTTCGTCCTCAGAATCTTCATCTACTACATCGACATCTTCGTCAACCTCGTCTTCGCTCTCCCAGTCATCTTCACCCTCATCGTCCTTACTCCGCTCCCCTTCTTCCTCCTCGACCGTTTCCTCCTCCGCTCTTCTTTTCTTTGCGGGGGGAGAAGTTTCTTTCATGGGTGACATCCTGCAAGGCTCGACTGTGTGAGTTTTCAGGATTCTGGAGGATCTTCTTCAACGCGACCTCATCGTAATCTCTGACACATTCGGGGATCGCTGCATAGACGAACGGATTTAGCCGCCATCTGCGAAACTCACCTGCGTATCGCACCGAGAAAAAGAACACAATTCAGTGTAACTCCGAAAAGCGAAGAGTACTTTCTCGTCGGTGTCCCACGTGCAGAAGTTGTTTGTTTACAGTAGACCGCGGGCAGACGGTCTGCCCTCGGAGATCCCGTGATTTAAGCAACCAACTCCAAGAGCTTTCGGTCGCGATACCTCAAGCCGATGGCACTCATTTTCGAAGCTCCACGGATTCGAGCTCGACAACACCGAAGAAAGATGTCGGCATATCACGGGCACGAGAATTCCCGAGGATTCGAAGTTTCCCCTAAGAGATTTCGATACAAGATCCTTCGGGCGAAGTGGATAGTACCTATAGATAGGAGCTCTCCGGAGTGTTGTTAGGCACTCACTTTCGCTCTCTGGCATAGGAGGAAGTGGGTGAGATTAATAGCTGCTCGGTAACTTCAGGAGTGATGACGACGTTCACATTTCACTGGAATCGGGAGACAGGTTGCTCAGCTGCTCCGAATTCACCACTGCCGTCCGTGGGATAACATTCTGGCAACAACAGCTGAGTTTGTTCCCCCTCCTCTCTCTGGTGAACAGGTCTCGGCACAATTCCGAATTGGAAGAGGCACCGGTTTGGACGGGACCCAGGTCCGATGAGGAAGAATTAACTTCGCCCATGAGCAGCTGCAACAATCGAATAATTTGATAGATCGTCGATTTCCCCCGGCTTTTCTCGAATCAAGGGGCATGTACTGAGAGAAGATAAATCTCTTGATAACAAAATTCAATGAGCTCCAAAAACAGCTGACCGAGGTTTCTCAGAGTACTTGAGTATCGTCTCTGGACCGTGGGACCTCTATAGTGGATGGGTCTATCTCTACGTTGCTGTTCGGAAGACACCGATATACAAAATTGAAATGGTTTCCCGATTTCTCAGAAATGTCTCGAAGCAGGCCATTTGGGCGCACCAGGTTTGTTTCTGGGAGAAAGCTGGATCTACTGCGGCGCTGGATCCTCCTCTGATGACCAGTGATAGTGAGGACTGCCGATTTTCTCCGCCGTCCGTCGCTTCCTCGTACTTCTATGGAGTCGCCATGTATCGGTGCTAGAGTTTTTCCTCCCGTGATAGTTCTGGTGCACTGACGCATAGTAAGGTCGGTGGAAAAGCGGCACGAGTTCTCGTTCCTTTGGGGTTCTCAATCGAAGACGAAACAGATCTGTGTTGCGCTTCGGAGTCCTGCCGCTCAGATAGCAGTGATGTCAGATGACACACCTGAGATGGGGTGGATACCCGAGAAGATCAGATGAATTTCCTCGTACTGACTGGGACGCGCTTTCGGGGGACCCTGTCGAGTTTGAGATCGCGGGGAGCGTTCACGAGCTTATCGAGAGCTCTCCGAAACTCCCTTGATGGCGAGGTAAGACGCTAAACGACCTTCGAAACTTTCACAGCGCCTCGCGCCACCTGCCAAGTTCTCGAGTATGGCGATCCACAAGGGGGACATGTTATCCCGCCAGTCAGAGCTTCCGAAGCTCCCGGTGCCTCCTCTGAAGGAATCGGTCGATAAGTACCTCGAGAGCGTCAAACCTTTCCTCAGTCAGGCAGAATTGGTCACGACCCGGAAGGTTAGTATCCAAAGACTCCCGGAGCTTCGAAGTAGTGCTCCCCATCTGAGAATTTAATTTTCGCTAAAAGATCCCAATGAAAAAGATTCAAAGCACCGCTTCGATTAGGCTGATATTACGCTACCTGGGATACCGACTTCTTCGATAGATACGTATGAGGAAGTCTCGCATCAGGATGCTCATTGAGAATGTGTGCGTTCCAACTCGAAGTGAAGAGTGACCGTGACAAATTTTCCTCCTCCGGAAAAGCAAAAGATTTTCCGAACTACCAGAACCACCAGCGAAGCTCCAATTAGGATCTCCCTGCGGGGAAACCGCGATCCGGCGCTACCGATTGAGCTCGATCCTGAGCGAAATGAAATCAAGTATCGAATGACCAGATGATCTCCTCTCTGCGCAGCTGGCCCAGGAGTTGGTTGCACCAGGAGGTGTGGGGGAGACTCTTCACAAGTTGCTCCAGGACCGAGCCACCAAAACGGACAATTGGCTCTCCGATTGGTGGCTGGAAGGCGCATACTTGGGATACAGAAATCCAGTTGTCGTGAGTTCTTCTCGGTTTCTCTCGATTCGGACCATTACATGTATGATATGATTTATTTGTATATATTCCCCCGAGTTGAGCTGCCTTGCGATCACCTATAACGACGGCCTAATAATTCTTGTAGGTGTACAGCTCTCCTGCCATGGCCATGCCGCGGCAAGAGTTCAAGGACTTCAAGCATCAATTTGCTTACGCGGCCTCTCTCGTGCAAGCCGTTCTGGATTTCAAGGTTGGGCCCGGTGAAAAGAGTCTGATGATGATAATTCACCGGATCATCCCCGTGTTCTTCAAAGCTCGTTTCATCTGGAGCAGACAAGGGAACTCTCAATCGCTATCTCGCCCCCAGGCTCACATCGACAACGAAACTATGTCGACTGAAGTCCAAGGTAAGGCGCCTCTGGATATGATGCAGTACAAGAACATTCTCGGGACCCATCGGGAGCCGCACATCCCGCTGGACAAGCTATTCCACGCACGAGACAGCAAACACATCGTCGTGGCCTATCAGGGAAATTTTTATGAGGTCAAGGTTTACGACACTGAAGGCAGGCAGCTGGCGACCGCACAAATCCTCCAACAGCTGCACGAGATCCGAGTTGACAGTCTCGAGAAAGGCAAAGGCCCTCAGGTCAGTACCATGGACGGAGCTCAAAGAACATCGTCAGCGTGTGAGCAAGACTTACCTCTCCTGACTCGCGGATTCGTTCAATCGATCCTGACGCGCAGGTCGGGATTCTCACGACCCAGCATCGCGATCTCTGGGCGCAGAGCTTCGAAAACCTCTCTGCACATCCGAAGAATCGGCAGTCTCTCCAAAGAATAAGGTGATTCCTCATCAGACCTATTGACTTCTATAGAGCTTCAGGTTCCCATTCCCAGCGATCCTTGACGACGTACGATTGTATTCCCAGAGACGCTATCATTCTCCTATGTCTGGACGATCCCCTCACAGAAGTTACTCCCTGGAGTACAGTTTCTGCTCAACAGCTGCTGGTGGGTGGTAAGAACGGAGAGAACGCCGGCAACCGTTGGTGTGACAAGGCAATCCAATTCATTGTTGGTAAGTGTAGTTTAGCCACCATTGGCGATGCCCCGGTCACTGTACCCTAGCACGGAGATGGAGCCTCCTGAATCTCTTGCTTGTCTTAAAATTAGGACTCGAGGGGAACGTCGGCCTACTGTACGAGCACTCGCCAGCAGAAGGGCCCCCTGTCGCCGGCTTGCTCGATTTTTGTGCGAAGCAAGCGTCCGTGTGGCCGATCCCGCCGGAACAGAGCCCTTTCCGGCCAGAGAAGCTGGACTTCACCATCAACGTTGGCGTGAGGAATCTTCGCATGTTTCTCATAGAACTCGGCCTGGACTCGAAATCGAGCCTTGGGCGGGCCGAGATCGATCGCGTTCATAGAAAAAACGTACGCAAGCTCTCATCGTGAACCTTCCTTAATCTTGCAGATCGGGCAGGACATTCAAGTGGCGAGGAATGATCTGAAGAAGCTCGTCGACAATCTTGAGCTGTCCTTAGAAACATACGGGAAGTACGGCAAGGATTTCGTGAAATCGTGCGGTCTCAGTCCGGACAGCTATATCCAAATGGCAATCCAGCTGGCTTTCTACCGAACCCATAACTGTCCTGGTGCGTGTTACGAGACAGCGACCTTGAGACGCTTCCTCGGGGGAAGAACGGAAACGATCCGGAGCTGCTCCGAAGAAAGTGTCCGCTTCTGCAGAACATTTTTGGATAACCAGGCGAACGTCAAAGACAAAGTTGGATCTCTGCGTACCGCGGTCGAAGCTCACAAGCGATACACGAACTCGGTAAAGTCCGTATTTGCATGGATGACTGAATCGCGCGAGTCTCATCGCACTCGGGTACAATTTGTCTCCGATCTGGAAGCGACGATCCGGTAGCAGCCGAGCTCCGGTTTCTCTCAAATTATTGTTTTTTTTCCTCACAGGCCGTGGCGGGTCTAGGCGTCGACAGATTGTTTTTCGGGATGAAGAGGATAGCGTCTGAAGCTGGAATTCAGATTCCGAACTTCTTCTTCGATAAGAGTATGGTTGTATCCACGCACTTCAGGCTTTCCACGAGCCAGGTACAAACTCGTCGGGATTCGTTTTTCGCATCTTTCCTATCGATTCAACCACCGTCATGTACCGATACATAGGAGCTGACGAAGAGTTTGCCATTATAGGTAGCAGCGAAATCTCGATCTGTGATGTTCTACGGACCTCTGGTACCGGACGGGTACGGCTGCTGCTACAACCCTGGCAATGACTACATACTGTTCGGTCTTTCCGACTACAAAGACTGCCCAACGACGAATCTCGACGACTTCAGAAGCTCCTTACGTGACAGTCTCGATCAGATGAGAGACTACCTCGTGGCCGACAGTATAAAATCGAAGCTGTGATCAAATACTCGATCATTGTTTTCTTCCGATGCCCTCGGAGCTCGATCCGAGAAAACGGAGCCGCCTCAAATACGACGTGCGCATCATGACAATTACTATTTCAATCGTGCCGTGCGTAGAACGTTCTGCGTCTGTGAACAATTTATTCTATTCCCGGTCTACATCTTTACAGGAGCTGTCGACTTATTTACAATAAAACAAATAATCACGCCGAATCCTACTTATTGGGCGGTGTTTTGTACGCCGAGGAATAGTATTCTTCCTCGAGCTCGTACAGCTCAGAAGCCATATCGTCGCGCAGAGCCATCAGCCGCTGATCGCAGTCCTGTTGCACCGAGCAAAACCTGGAATGCATCAAAAAAATCAGACGCTTCGACAATGCTCGAATTGAGTAGAATGGTCGTCATGAGGGAGATGCATGGAGCTCGGCCTTCCCGGACATGTACTCACTTTTGACTCGAAGCTTGTATCGAGTCGTTGATAAACGGGAAATCGTTCAGTATCAGATACTGCTTAATGTCCGCAATGAGTCGCACGAGTTTTTCCCCGGCGCGGATCATGTTAGCAGCCCGCACGCTCATCTCGTATTGATCCTCGGTGCATTGGAGCTGACGCAAAACTTGTCCTTCTTCCTCAACGGTCGGAACTTTGCTGCTCTTTAGAATCTCTTGGAAATTGTCGATCATAGCGCGTATGTCGTCTTTAAGACGCTTTTGATAACTCTTCAACAGAGCATCCTTGTCTCGAGCAGTTGTGGTTCCGGCCCCGGGCTTCGGTTGCGACATCGTGTCTTCAGTAGTTGGAACGATAGGCCTGGAAAATATCATGGGATTCCGGTGTCACTGAAACGATCAAACTCGGAGACTGTTCGGCATCGTACGAGGACTCCCAAGGGGAAGGGGATCCGGCTATCATCCACGTTCATCTACGAGAAAGAGTGGGCAAGGATGAGTTTGAAGGCACAAGACTTTCCACCCGACGAGTGGATGCCCCTGCTTTATTGATATTTCGTCTCGCTAACACTTTCATCATTTATATATAGGGCGATCCAAATATTTTACTGTACAATTCGTATGTATTCTTTCGATTCTCCAAAGGCAGCTTCATCTTTCTCTCACACAATCAAGTGGTCGAGGGCCTAGCTCACGATCAAAATTCGTCGCTCCAGACCCCGTCACCATCGCTGTCATCGTTGTTAGCCTCGGATTCTCGATCGTCATCCATTTCCATATCATAGCTCTGCTCTCCCCCGACGGACTGTTCGACAAGTTGTATGCCTTTCTTGACTTGAGCATTGCCCGGATCGAGGTTCAAAGCGATGCCGTAATGGAAGAGTGCTTGTTCGGGCTCATTGGTCTTGTGGAGAAATTCCGCGTACATCTGATGCAGTCTGAGCGTGCTGCCAACCAGCTGCAGCTTCTCGCTGAGGAGCTGCACTCCACCTTGGTAGTTCCGAGTCTGATCGAGTATTTCAGCGAGATCGTATATCGCCGGCAGATATCCCGGATCATGCGCTAGGACTCTTTCGAGGTAGGATCTAGCCTTTTCGATCTGGTTGTTTTTCGCGAGCGCTTCGGCTTTTAACGTGAGCGTCCGCGGACTCTGTCCCAGTTGCCGAATAGCGTTCGTGGCAGCTGTCTGAGCGTCGGAGAAACGATTCTGGGACAGATAGCACGTCACCTGGCCTCGGTACGGTTCGAAGCGATGAGGGGCGATGATTTGAGCTTCGCTGTACGTCGAGGCTGCGCTCTGGAAGCCTCCGATGGCGAAGAGGATCTCAGCTTTGAGAATTACGGCATTCACGTGTTTCGGGTTCATGTCCAGAGCTTTATCGCACATGTGTCTTGCCCGCGGGAATTTCCCCCGGTTGTAGCACAGATAGCCCAGAGCGACCCATGTTTCCGGCATACTGTCGCTCAGCGACAAGAGATGATTGCTCAATTGTTCCAGTTCCTTGGATCTCTTCTCGCGCATCAGGAGGCTCGCGTACAAATCCATTCCCCTGACTTGATACTTGTCTGCTTTCACGGCTCGCTCGAAAGCGCCGAGGGCCTTGTTGCTCTCACCCTGGAAGTAGTGCAACTTGGCCAACATGAGACTCACGTCGAAGCTCTCTTTCAACTGCAAAGACGTGTCGAGAGACTGGAAAGCTTCGAGTGCCTTCGAGGTATTCTTCGAGTGCAGGTCTCCGCAAGCGGCAACGAATGCCGGCAGCCACTCCATGGTGACGTGAAGACCTTTCGACGTGACCATCGACGACACGTCCGCGGCTTTCATGTTTAACTCGAGTAACGACGTTATCGCTGCGATCGCGTAGGGATTCACTTTGAGAACGTCCTTGTAGCAAGCGATGGCACCCCGGTCGTTGCCTTGACTCTGGTAGAGTCTTCCGAGCGCCATATTCATTTTGGGAGTTCGTTGCTTGAGCGGTATGTTCTCGAGCGTACTCGTGGCCAAGCGTATCTCTTTCCTGCCCAAAAGACATTGGTATATTCTATACTGTACTTCTGCGTGTGGTGTTATATCTTCGTGCTGACGCTTCCGCACGACGGATCGCTTCAATTGTAGCGCCTGCTCGTACATGAGCTCGGCTTTCTTGAACTGACGCGATTCTCGGAGCACGTCGCCATACCACACAAGAGCTTGGTATCGGTGCGAAGGCATCAACACGTCGTCGCAATTCCTGTCCACCGTGAGCAGCAAAGAGGCCAGGATTTCGAGATCGTCGTAAAGTCCATCTTCGTACAGTTGTCGAAGAACCTCAATCGCCGACATTTCCGCGGACCTCCTCGATCACCGCTCCGAGGAGTCTCTGGTCGAAGACGATAGCGTCCGGGGCTGTAAGACGACAACCGTTGGCCGAGCTCGTTTTCGCATCGAAACTTATTTACATAGAGAGCCCTTTATGAGGATGGGCATTCTCCGAACTACATACATTGTCGCCGACGGAGACGATTACCTATACAGGATCACTTGATAATCGTCGTCTGGCCATGCATCGCGGCCGGCTCGATCGTATCATGGAGCGAAGAGATAGAAGCTCTCGTCCCCGAAATGTTCCACCATCGATCGGTGAATCTCTCTTCCGATGATTCCCCGGAACGTTCGTCCTCTGAGCCCGCAGAATCAGACCTCTCTCTCCCAGACCCAATGCGCCGACTTCAATCGAACCGTAATCGCAACCCGACACTCCGCGAATGAAAGCGTAACCATATTACGTACCTCCTAGATCAGACGAGATTTAAGATGTTCCCAGCGAGCGCCCTCTCCTTGATCACGACCAGGGCCCTATCGGCTTTTCCGCTTGATGAGAAACTATTTCTGGAGGTTGCTACGGATTGCGCTCACGGACATGTTTTCGACAGCGGGACAGTGGAAACTCGTCGTCTCACATCTGATCGGTGGACGGACGGAGGAGTCAACAAACAAACACAAACCCGGCCGGTTCCGTGATCTCCGAACGGACGCCTTCGAAGCTTCGGTTTAATGCAGGATTCGGGACGGGAACAATTTTCCGAAATACGGGACGACCGGCAGTAGAAGAAGAGGTTTCTCACCTCAAGTTGTATCGAGGAAAAAAATATAATTCCCCTCCGACAGTTCAAGTGTCCACTAGAGGGCGCTGGGATCGCGACGCTAAGATGGCCGCCAGGTTGTAGACGATGGTCCTTTTCGCCTGCAGCTTTGGCCACGAGCGTGGTGTGCTGCAGAAATCCGGTTAAATCGGGAATTTAGTTCCGAACTCGGTCGTCTATCAAATTAAAAATGGTGAGTCGTGTCAGCAAGGAAGCTCGAGCATCGATTTTAATGACGATCGTCCCCGTTTCGCTGTCCTCAGCTGAAATTGAATGTCCCCAGAGCCCGGCCGCATGCCGGCCTCGATTCGTTTAATTACCATGATGTACATTGAATCTCTTCACCTGATTGGAGTTCGAGATTGAGCTTTCCAAACGGATGTGAACTTGACGTCTGACAATTTTAGAGAATTTTCTCGTTGAGGGGTTGTCAGCTCACCAATCTGAAGCGATTCGCTCCTCTAAGCCGTTTTCGTACGAATGATTATTGCAGCCTCCGGCTTTGAAGGGCAAAAGCAAGAAGAAGATCGCGCCGGCGCCGCTTTCTCAGCGCAAGGGGGCTGCGAAGAAGCAGGAAAACCCCCTCTATGAAAGTCGTCCGAAACGCTTCTCGATCGGTGAGTGAAGGCCTATGATGCTCGGTCCACGTGGACTGCGTTCGATGGACGAGGCTGCTGAACCCGCGATGGGTTCGCTACCGAATCCATCCCGTCAGAGCTAGGCCCGAAGTCCCCCGCAACGGGGACTGTTATCCAGCCGATGAAACGCGTCTTCGAGAAAGCGTTAGGCTGAGAGATAACTTCACTCGTTATAACTGAGCAAGAGGAGACACCAGCTGGTGAGGCCGTCTCTCGACGTGTTCGTGGAGTCGGAGCACAGGGATACGCTTCATCGTGTTTCAAGGTTTGGCCGATTTTCGATTCCGCTAACAGAGCTGTCTGTTCCGCTTTCTCCTATTAGGTGAGGACATCCAGCCTCGTCGAGACCTCACTCGTTTCGTTCGTTGGCCGAAGTATATCCGTCTCCAGCGACAGAAGGCCATTCTGTACTCGCGTATCAAGGTCCCGCCGGCAATCAATCAGTTCTCGCAGACGTTGGACAAACAAACGGCGACGAATCTCTTCAAGCTGCTGGACAAATACCGTCCCGAAGACCGCAAAGCTCGCAAGCAGCGTCTCAGAGCTCGCGCCGAAGCCAAGGCCGCCGGTAAGGCCGACGAGCCTGGTAGCAGACCAAACGCAATCCGCCAGGGTGTGAACACCGTGACGACCGCTGTCACGAATAAGAAAGCCAGCCTCGTCGTCATCGCCCATGACGTCGATCCCATCGAGCTCGTCATCTTCCTTCCGGCGCTCTGCCGCCGTATGGGAGTTCCCTACTGCATCGTGAAAGGCAAAGCTCGTCTCGGTACGGTCTGCCGTAGGAAGACATGCTCCGCGCTGTGTCTGACCACCGTCAACCGAGAAGACGAGCAATCCCTCGGCAAGATCGTCGAGTCGATCAAGACGAACTTCAACGAGCGCTTCGACGAGATCAGGAAGCACTGGGGTGGTGGTATCGTCTCGAACAAGAGCCAGGCTCGCATTGCCAAGCTCGAAAAGGCCAAGGCTAAGGAACTTCAACAGAAGGCGCAAATCTGAGCAAGTTTCGAATAAAAGTTACGGCTTTCGATGGAACCGAAGTTTGTCCTCCAGTTCTCTTTATTTCTCGAATCCCCCAGTCATGAAGCACTTGCTATCGCTCTAAGGCAAATTGAATGAATAAATATAAATTAATCCTCGCATATGAATTAGAATGAGAAGAAATAGCTATTGACAAACGGCCTATCAGAAAACTCTCGGAACCTATCTCGAACTCGGGACTACTCGCGTTCGGAAAATATACACTCTGATCGGTCATTCAAACCCTGATTCCGATGATAATTGTGAGCAGAAGAGTATCGCAGCTTGCGAAGGGGGTCTGCAATCGCGAAAGAGAGCTGATCGGTATAGGGGAAGAGCACCGTTGACGCTACGATGGCGAGAGCGAACTCTTGAGGACGCGAAGTGCTTAGACGTCATCACCGTTCTATTTAAACTGTCTACTACCTATGACTCGCTCAGCTTCGTCGGACTCAGCGCACACGCCCTTCACGCGCAGTCTCATGATATCGCGAGAAAAAACGCTATCGTCGCCACGTGCGTCTCTGCTTTGTTCATATACCTCATCGAAGCCGCCGTCTTCCCGCGCTCTTTGCACTTCTCGACGCCCATCCGGCGAATTCGTTCAGCATCCCCGGATCCGATAGATCTCAAGAAAGAGTACATTGGCCCGATACCTACGATGACTCAGGTCCATCTATCAGACAGAGCGATCTGAATCTCTGAGGCTTGGTCAACAGGGACGTTGCGTCGGCGAAGTTCTCGAGCACGATCGCAGACAAGCAGACTCCTGTCCTGGAGAACAGCGTTTCTAGACCGTTCGACGAATTCATGGCCCGAGTCAAGGCCCCTCCTATGCTTGAGACGCGGGACATAACTTGAGACGACGCCATCTCCATTGGTCGATACCGTTCCCTCCATGATTTCTGAAAGATGACAGCAGTCGATAGGCTAGGTAGTCCAAGCTCCCCATGATCTTCGCCTGCGAGAGCGCAGGAGCTATCCTCGTCCCCGAAGATAATTATGCAGCTTGGACCGAGATAATCTAGTATCCAGTCGCAGTATCTCTCTCGGAAACCCCCGCGCAGGCTCTGAAGGAGACTCTGCTTTATAAACCGAAAAGTACCTTATGGTGCTACGGGGGTCGAAGTGAGCTGAGATGCTCTCTAAGTTCCGAGGCCCGACGGCGAAGTCCAGCGGAGGCGCGCAAGCTAGACGTCGACAAGCAAACCGTCAATGTATCAATCCACTTCTCGATTCGAAAGGGAATCATTCATTGGGAATCGGGAACCCTCGCGAGTTCTTCGCGTTCGTGATGTTGCCCGAAAACTAAGAACGAAGTAATTTTGCGGATAGAGGCTGCCACTTCCCCGCAGCTTCTCGGTTACCGCCATTCTGCGAGTTCGACGTGTCCAGGGTCATAGTTCCCACGCTTCGGAGAAAAAAGTCCCAAAATAGAGGAGTTGGATGGGAAAACAGCTATATTCCTCTCGTAGATATACGAGCACAACTATTCGTGTGCGTAGGTCCGAGAGCTTGCTTTGTGTTTTCCATCTGCGAGATATGCATCTGAAAACAGCGAACTCAGCCTCTTCAGGCTCCATGACGTGTCGGAACGTGTCGGACATCCGGAACGTGTCGTACAGGTACGCGGGAGCACATCGATTCGCGAACACAATTCAGACAGTAATTCGGGCGATGACGAGAAAATCTCAACCAGAGTATTCAATCGACGATCCCGCGAAATGTATTCACACCCCGAATAACCCTTATCACTTTATCACAATGCGGGAGGTCGATCGCGCTGTTCACTCAAGTTGCTCGAACCCACTCGGCGAATATCCAGCTGTTGGGAGGGAGAAATAAACTATTACTCGAACATCTCCGCGCAGAGCCCAGGAGGCCGATGACTCCGTCAACGTCGATTGCGAAAGCCATACTGTTCCAGATCTAAGATACATGCAATCTGACTTGCTTCGATTGTTCAATTCGAGCGAAGCTCGAAACTGATCAAACCGAAGCGCTAATTTTAGAGGAAAAAAACCGGACTCGGTTCTCCCTTGTAAACCAGGGCTCGGCTCATTTTTACGCAGAAGAGTTAACGCGCAATAGTTCGAATTCACTTTGTGGTAAGCTACTTTCTCTCTTTCTCTTTCTTCGCCTCGGTCGGTCAATGTCTCTGTTCTCTGGGAGCTCTCGGCCTCACTCTTCCGTAGTCGTCGTACCGCGAGATCTGCGTAAAAGCTGTGTGGAGAGTTGTCGGTGAACAAGCGAGCGGATAGAGAGAATGTCTGGAAAGGAGGCTACAGCTTTAATGACGCCAGAGTCTGAACCCTGACGCACTCTACAAGAGCCCATCGGTCCCTGTCAAACTAGGTGTCGCACACCACTCAGTTGAAGATCGTGGAACGCGGACAGCTCAGGACTTTTGTGAATTTAGCCGATTGTCTCGCCGAGCGATGAGCTGCGGAATGCTAATCACGGAGCGCAGGCCTGATGACATCGTGGGCGCCGCGGGCCGTGGCGTCGTAAAGGTTGTGCATAGGATCTCCGACGCGGCAGAGAACCAGAACCTAGGTAAAGTTCGACCCAGAGTGAACTTCGCTGTGAACCGATCGCTAAGTCGCAGCTATCGTGTTATTTTTCCCCCGAGTTCTGTCTATACACCCCACGGTTCGGGGCCCGAGTCCGACGTTCTGCCGTCTCCGTGATGGTGCGTCTCGACGCTCAAGATTTCAGAGGTTCCGATTTTTCCTTGAAGATCTGTCGGCGTGCTCATTGGTGTCATTCCCCGATGCGGTGTACCTCCTCTTGCGCGACACCGTCGTGCTCCACTGTGATTTATCCGATAATGGACTCCGCAAGATTCCACCAAAACTCGCCAGGAAATTCACCAACATAACGCGGCTCAACCTAGCCTACAACAAGTATGCTTCTTTCCGCTCCGAGCTCTTACCGTATTTCGAATCCGTCTGAGGATGGAGCGTTTACCCGCTCCTTTGCTCCGAGAGTTCCTATGGAAAAGTCTCATGGATGCTCGTGTGTCGTTCCAGGCTCACCAACCTCCCAGAAGAGCTCTCCGAATTGCCGCATCTCACGCATCTCGATATCTCGAACAACGATTTCATCACATTTCCGTGGGTCGTTTTCAAAATGAAACAACTACGCTACCTCAACCTACGGGCTAACAATATTTTCGGTGAGCGGCGCAGGGATCAATTATGCTCCGTGAGAATGCCTACATAGGCGTCATGTCGTACTGAATTATTTCACGCAGTCGTCGACTGGAGCGAAAGTCTTCGAGCCCTCCCGTTCGCGGGATACCTTGGGCTGTGGTTGAGCTGAGCCCTGGAAGCCCCTTAGCTCATTCCACGGAGTGACCCGCGCTTCAAACTCATGTTTGGTTCTCACACCCACGAGAAGCCGCTCGCTAGCTGCGCAGCTCGGAACTGCAGGCCAACTGACTGAGAGACTCGCCTTCACGTCCTCCAGACTGTGTACACCCTCTTCGAGCGTATCTGTCGAGAAAGAACGGGTTTCAAGTTTTCCATGAAGTGACCTCAGGAAGACTGAGGCGCTAGCTGCCAAACATTATCTCTGAAACTCGGTTCTTCTCGACGTGGAGACTTGGATCTTTGAACGGTGCTCAAGAAGCCGGGCCTCGGATGCACATGTCCGTAGGTCGTCGTCGTCTGTAGACTCCGGCGACCGTGAGGCAGAAACGGACATTGTGAACCCTGTGAACTATGAGCATCTAAATATAGACAGGTCGTCGTGGAGGCCTCTTGTCCGAGCTTCTCTAAGCCCCCGAAAGGATGGCCGAACAATGTTCGGGTCTTACCGCAACCATTACCAGAAGCATTCAAATAGATTACTCGAGAAGTTACCGCGTGGGATAGCATTCTGAGTCATTCACTATCGAACGCGGGTCGTCGAGGGAGGACAAGAATGCTTGACGGACTTCACACATTTTCCACTCCTTTGTGGCAGACTGTGATCTTTGCTTTAAGGTTCCATCGTTTGGACCGACGCTCAGACTCCAGTCCTTTTCCCAAATTTTCCTCTACGAGGGCGCTCGCCAGCTACTCGTCACGAACGGACCGCACCGTACTTCTTACATTCCTTGATTGAACATATGTAATTGTTGAAGCTGCGAACGGGCTTCGGGCCCATTGCAGCGATCAGTTCCACTCATAACGTAATCTACCATGCGGTTGGAAATAACTTCCCTTTTCCCGTTCCACAGATATCGAAGCTGATTTCTTGAAGAACCTCCATCCAGACTGCGAGATCCACCTGGAAGATAACCCATTGTCGGAAAACTCGTGTAGGGACCTGGCCAAGCTCAATAGGAAACATATTTCCTTCTCTCCCTTCACGGAAGAAGATTTCTGATCCCTTGGTCGCACAAATATTCAGAAGGATTCGAGGAGGTTCGAGAGGAAGGTCATCCATGGCTCACTCTAGAGCTGTATTGGTGCTGTGCGCACAAGCTCTGAGACATTTCCTCCTTGTAAAGTCTATGATATTCACTTCCGCTTGTATGTATGTATTCCGTGTCGCTGCAGAAGCGCGATGCCGAAGTTGTTGAGCACTGTTCTAGTCGAAACCGATGCACATAGTCAAAGAATGTTGAGCTTGTAGAGAGGAGGAGGAAACGAGGATGCCATGAGAGCTCGGCCTTTAGGAACTATGCAGATGAGTCTCCTCTGTGGCATAATTTAAATCGTTGAATTCATGATGCCCCTCCAATGGAAGTTCTCCCCAGGCGAGAGGTTTACTACTGAGAATGCGTTCCGCCTCGGACCATGCATCGCCTTGAGGCGATTTTGGCCAATCTCGGCGATCTAGACCCGTCTCCGGCCGAGAGCTGATCAGGATGTAAAGCCTCCGGATAGAGGCATGCGGCGAATGTACACTTTGTACAACGAGATCTAGACCAGCAGTGATGGCAGGAGACTATATTTATTCGTTTTCCGCATGTGTATATTTTAGGGAAACATTTAACTCTCCTAGTGACGTTTGTGAGCTTTTGCTAAAATAAATGAGTGTGATACATCTAGAAAGAGCCGTCCTCCGGCGTCCGTATGTCCCCGATTCGTCTAGAACAGCTGGAAACACCTGGTCGGCTAGGAAATCTGTTAGGTTTAGCTGTCTGGGAACGGGGGATTCATTCAAAGCTCCCAGAAAATTTCCAGAGAAACTTCCGAATTCTTCTGTCTACTGAATCGATCGATACACAACAATTATTTAAGAAGACGAGCAATAAGGAACGTCCTCCTCCGCGAAGCATTCGCCGGGGCACCGCTGAGAACTGGAGCGTCCCTTGAATTGAGCTTCAGCCCGAGACAGCCGCCGTATTCCGAGCTGCTCGTTCGGCGAAAATTTCCACCGTAACGGGACCTTTCTAGTTTTCGTAACCTCTAATTCGACTAAGTCGTCAGATTTTCTGCCATTATTCGAGAAGGATCCGCCGAAACCTTCATCCGAACTGTCTTGATTCTTCAGCCTGATCGTCCGACAAACAGGCGATGCATAGTATCCAGCGGAGTAATAGTCAGCTGGCCTAGGATAGATAAGAGTCGTCACATAGTAATCGTTCAGAACTCCTCGGTAGGTCTTCATATAGCTCCCGATAGCGACGGAGCTCCCTGTGCAAGTTATCTCGGTGATTTTATGGTTGCGAGCTCGCGAGGGAGCCCAGATGAATCCCATAAGAGAGAAAAGTCGATTCCGCACATCCTGTCCGATTCCTCTCAGATCTGTCACATGAACGATATCTTGTATAATTCATTAAGCTAAATCAATCAGTCATTTGAATAAAACCGCGCCTATGCCCTGCCCTCGCCACATGACACACATGCCAACAGTCTGGCATGACCAGCCGAGCAGGAGCGTGCGAGTACTCTAAGGAATGCCTTTTCCTTGTTATGAGTAACTCATAACAAGATCGATCGGTCTATCTGGGACTTCTGTTCCCTGGAGCGGAGCGGTACCAGCGAATGAATCCATTAAAACATGACGTTGGTCAGGGCTACGTTCTCTAGCAAAGCTCCCCGTATTCGTACGAAAGTTGACGGAATAGCGCGGATGGAGGAGACCAGGTCTAGTCGACTCGGGAGTCTGCGCGGGAGCGCCCGGATGATGCAGAGAGTCACAACATCGACTTCACTGGCCAATGAAGACGTGGAATTCGTTAAAATGTCGAAAATTTATTCATCTCCAAAATCTTTAACTATATGTTCTACTACGCACAGATTCGATATGTACATCTGTTTGAAACTGTGCGAGAAAGACTACTGGTCCCTCCGATTGGAGCTATCGATGAACCTGGAGGGAGAGAGAGAGTCAATCGGGATTGATCAAGGATGAATAGATCGAGGAGCATCTGGAAAGGACTGAGGAGCTCACCAGGCTAAATGCGACCGAGGTCTTTGAGCTTGCCGAGAAGTTCGTCAACATTCTCCACCTTCGCACCAGCCTCTCGCACGGGAGGCTCCGCCACATTCACAACCTGTACAGAAGTCGAAGATATTAGCGAATCCCGATCGGGAGGAGAAAATGTCCGGGTCAACTCAATTGGATCATCCTACCGGCAATGCTCACCTTGATTCTTGCTGCGATATCGACACCAAGATCTTTCGCAGACAGTTTTTCCATGGGCTTCTTCTTTGCCTTCATGATGTTTGGCAGCGTTGCGTACCGAGGTTCGTTCAAACGAAGATCGGCACTTACGACGGCGGGGAGCTTCACTTTGATGTGCTCCAAACCACCGTCCACCTCACGGACAATTTTCAAGGAGTCTCCCTCAGGCTCAACTTGAGAAACGAAAGTCCCTTGAGGCCAATCGAGAACACCGGCAGTCATCTGAGCCGTCTGATTCAAGTCGTCATCGATTGCCTGAATGAATTGCGTATGGTCAATCATCACGTCGTCGCGTCGAAGCCATGCCATGTCGCATTAGTTCTCGCGTCGCCGGCGAACGCGATACTAGAAATCCTAGCAGACTAGCATCATCGCGCTCCTCGAGCGCTAGACTCCGACTCACCTGTTTGCCAACGAGAATTAAGTTCGCTTGGGTCCTCTCCGCCAACTTAGCCAAGATTTTCGATACGTGAACAGGCTGCAAGGTGGCGTATTCGGCTTCCGAAACCTCAACGTGGATTGCTTTATCCGCGCCCATGGCCAACGCTGTTCGTAGGGTTTCCTGGCAAGCGGCCGGTCCACAGGAAACTGAGAAGAGAAGCAATCGTCGCGATGAATTCCATATTCCGACAAGTCCTCAGACTCTACCAAGGGTGAATGAGGGCAAAAGTACTAAGTACAGGAATTCAGGATTCCTCCTAAGTATCCCCGAATCTCCGGGCTAATCAACAGTGAATCTCGATGCAGACGATTCTCCGTAGCTCGGCTCCCGATATGTCGAGGCGACATGGCAAGTCTTTGAATGCTTCACTAATCAGTCCTCGGATAATCCAGGAATGATCCAAGGTGCACCTATTTATCTATAAATATCCATCGTCCTTCGACAGAATGCCTACATCAAGACTTTCAGCTTCTCATTGCGCTGTCATCCTTTGTCATTGTTGGCTCCCCTGAATGGAGAGGAAGTACACGGCTGAGCGCAACCTCGCCGCCGTGGCAGCGCTGAACTGACGACAATCAGTGATTGCTAGCACCATGCTCACACACAAAATGGGCGAGTAGATTCAAGAGAGCTCCCCTTCGCGGTTCCCCATCGGATTCCTCCGTGGATTCGTACCCCACGGTCATTCCTTACCGAATATGCAGAAAGAAGAGAACTTATAGCTACCTGCGATAATCTCGGAAGCATGCTTCTTCTCTTTGAGTCTGACGGCTTCTTCTACGGCTATCTCGTCGAAAGGGTTGAGAGAATGTTTCACACCTTGGGTGACGACCCCAGAGTGATCTGGCTTCACACGGACCTGAAGGAAGAATTTCGTTATTGGCCTTCATTAAACTGAAACCATTCCCCGGACCTTTCTTGTTCATTACATCCGCGTAACGTTCAGCAGCGTCAACAGATGTGATCAGGGCAGATTTGAACTAGTCTTCCCGTATTCGTAACCGGACCTTGGCTCGATACAGGTCGGCAAACGGTTCCTGAACCGTAATACAATATTCCACGCAGGCCCCTCACGAAATGAGCCCTCGATAGCAGTTGTCCTGCCGGTACGATATCGAAGGAGACTCACCTTCACCGCGTAGTCAATGACACGCTTACATCCCACAAGAATTCTCAGAGACATATTTCCCTACTATCGGACGCCAAGAAACGGAAAAACAAGGTGAAGTTTGGCTCGGTGAGCTCACACACGATTCGGGTCAACAAGAGTAGATGGACTTATGTGAGCTGCTGCTGCTGTCGATGGAGTAGGTATATGACAACACAGATGAGCCGCCATGTTTTTTCGAGGAGGAGAGTGAGAGTGATACCACACTCGACTCTTCTCAGCGCAAACCGCTCGCTGTGACCACTCGGGGCTTCTCGGGGCAGGAATGAGAGATTCCTGGGCGCTTATACCATGAGGATGGTCATTGAAATCAGAAGAAGAGTCCATTGTACCAGATTTGTTTTGACCCTGAGCAGCAGAATGAATCTCCCACAAGCAGCTACGGATTGCATCGGGGATCTCCGCTGCTCCGTCATCCTCCTTTCACCAACACGCTTGCTCTGGCTGATTCGCGAGCAGCCAATTTGAGCCAAGGATCGATCATTGTAGTCATAAGGATTCTTAACCACAATCAGCGCCCTCCCAGGAGATTGAGGACCTTATGTCGAAAGTCCCCTCATACAAAAGTTCTTCCTCCGCTTCACCCCGCTACGAAGCGCTTCGTCTGTACTGTGCCCATATTGATCCTGCATATCCTGATATATATACGCTTAGCATTCCCCTTGATTTCACAACACGGACTACTTAGTTCACAGTGGAATAATTGACAAGGTAATATCGGTATTCAGTTACCACAATGCCGATCGACAACACTCCAAATCGAAGAATTATTATCGATATAACTTTCCCGCTCTTAGCTTCACCGTCAGAACTTTCATGAATTTCTCCCTAGCTGAATAGCCCCGCAAGTTTCCTCGGTGTCTCTGAACCCCATTGATTAGCATTACATCTCACGTCGATGCGACTCAAGAATTCAATGCAAAAGCGCCCGAGGGAACGCAAGACGTCTTCGCGGGGACAACTGGAAGCGTGAAGAGAGCTCTCCACTGACGTTCCAGTGGCCACAGGGGAGAGCAGAGCCCGAAAGGATATTTATGCAAAAGTCGACCCCGGAAGTAGAACTTGAATCAGAAATTCCCAGACTTTCCCTTTGGAGGTACAGGGTTCCTCGTCATTTTCTCGGAAAAGCGAAAAAGGGAGCTATGCCACTTGAATAGCTTAAGGTCGTTGCCTCCATCTTCAGTCACAATTGAACTGGCACTCAATCTATTCTCGAGAGGGTTGAGAAAAGCAGATAGGGCGCCCGTCGATTTTATTCGGCTTGTGTCAGTAGGGATATCATTGTTACAGCATTTAAAAAACTCGTCCAGCCTCCGAGCGTTCCGGTGCGAATTTCTGACCACAGCGCTGAAGGATGGAAGTACTTTCTTCCGCGGCGAGCTAAGCGTCACACCGTTCTCTCCACGGAAGGGATTTGGGCCCCCATGGGTTCGCTGAACCCACTCTCTCCCTTCAATCCTCTAAGCTTGCGTCAAGACATCGCCTTCATGGTGCCTATACCAAACACGTCATTTCATAACGAACATGAGGGCCGTATCCGGCGGTGCTCAATGGCAAAACTCTCTGCTCAGCATCGGGGACGGGAGAGTACGGAAGCGGGGAAATAGGCGTGGAGGAGAAGTGCCAACGACGAGGACGACAGGGTCACCGTCCCCTTGAGCCTCCTATGTGCTGCTAACTTCGAACATTGACGTTCTATGTGACACGACCATCTTGGTGACGAAGAATTCCCATGTCGATTTCATGAACGACGAGGCCCTTAAGAGAATCTACGTTGATGATCCTGCACAGGAATACTTCTACCGAAGTTGGGACTCTATCGCCAGTGACTCCAACGGAGCTACGAGCAACATCCCATTAGACTATCTGAACAGCCTCACACCCTCCGGTCTTCCCCCTTACGTTCTTCATCTGACGAAAGGGACTATAGTGATGCTCCTGGGAAACTTGGACATCGACCACGGCCTATGCAACGGCACACGATTATGCGTCGATTCCTTGGGAACTCATACCGTCATGTGTTCGTTCACATTTGGGCACCGGAAGGGTGTCAGAGTTTTGATTTTCCGAGTCGATCTCTATGGGGATGGGTCACCATTCAGGCTGAAACGTCGACAGCTCCCACTCCGGGTGGCTTTCGCTATGACGATAAGCAAGAGCCGAGGCGAGAAATTCACCCAGGTGGGCCTCTTCCTACCACAGGATGTATTCGCACATGGTCAGCTATACACGGCGCTCTCACGAGTCAAGAATCCTCCGAATATACGTATTGCTCAAACCACCTCTAAGTGCGCAATATCGTATACAGGGAGCTCTTCCCCAATAAGTAACTAAGGAATTCCAAATATCCAAGTGCATGTTTCCGTCAGGAAACTAGGGTTTATTCTCGGAACACAATATCGAGTTCGTTGATGGTTCTTTCGACATCTTCGACGGCCTTATCGAGCCTCAATCTCTTCTGGATTAGCGACATATTATTGCACATGGTGCAATATTCACATTCCCCCATCAGTCGCAGCAGAGACTCCTGGAAATGCTCTGCGAGGTCGACAGCCAACAAAAGCAACTTCCTGCATTTCTTGGTGTGCGCCTTCTTCAGGGAAACGTGCATCGCGGGCTTCGAATCGACTTTGACCTCCACGCTCCACGGTTGTTCCCTCAGACGAACAACCTGACGAGAATCATATTCTCTTACATGCGCGACACGTGATTGCCGATTATACTTTTCATCATTGCGTAAAACCAGCCGCCTCAGCTTCGAAGCATTTCAGGTTCAGGAATTCAATTCGCCCTTCCATCGATGCCGCCTCTGTAGGGGCAGCTGATAGCACCCGCGCTGAGTGACGAAGCTATACTTGTATATATAAGCACGCCTGGCGCCATTTTCACGGGAGGGCTCGGCCGTTGCACAAAGTTCCAAGCAGCAATCAGGCTGAAATCTGATTCAGAACCTGTATTCAGGAGAGCGAGGCCTGTCGCCCACGCGACACTGCCTGCAGTCTGTGCAGAAATCGATCGGTGTGAAGAGAACGGGGTAATCAAGAAGGTTTCACATTCCGATTTGGCCGTTCCGATTGTGGTGGTATCCGCTTCCAACGGCTGAAGACATCTTCAGCACACTCAACGGCGGGCAGTGGTTCTCCCAGATACATCTCACAGAGGCCGATCTGCAGGCTCCAGTTGAGGAGAGTTCGCAGCTAATACTCACGATCAACACGCCCAAAGGTCTATACAAGGTGAAGCGTCTTTCATTTGGTATCAAGACGGTACCGCGTATTTTCCAGGGAGTCATGGACGAGCTCATCGCGGTTTTGGGGGCATGATGGCATATCTTGACGATATCGTCGTGACAGGACCGACCGAAGAGGAACATCGAACTAGATTGGTGGCGGTAATGAAGCGTCTTCGCGAATTCGGGCTACGCGTGAAGTTGGGAAAGTGCAGTCTCTTGCGAGAGGAGATCAAGGCGACCTGACCCGAAGAAGGTTCAACCCATCATCGATATGCCACCACCCTAGGATGTCGGCGAGTAACGAGCATTTCTGGGGATGTTAACCTTCTACGCGGCGTTCATCCCTGAGATGAAAGACCTGAAAACGCCTTCGGCCGATCTTCTAAAGAAAGACGCTTAGTCCCCACCCGTTCAAAAGTACTGGAATTGAGTACGAAGGACATCCGGGAATCAATCGAATGAGAGCTTTGGCTAGAAGCTATGTTTATTGGCCCGGAGTTGACAAGGATGTTGAGCTCCTGGTAAGGAAGTGCGGACCCTGCCAGCTTGCCGGGAAACTTCCAACAAATGAATGATGCGTACAAACAACCAGCATCAGAAAAAATTCGAAAAAGTGAGATTAGGATGAGAACATCATCCACTCAGATACGGATAGTAAGCCTACACCGATGGCGAAAAAGGCGAAATTCTTGAAAAGCCTCGAAATCAGCAAGCTGGGCTGGATCGTCCATGGAAGGGTGCTGTTCAAATCGAACAGGAAAATTGAAAAAAAAACTTTAGTTCTCCTTCGTTATCGAAGACGCCTCCGGAAGCATACAAGTCGTGGCATCAGGAGACCGTTGTGACGCACGGCATGGAGCAATTAATGTGGGCAATTGCTACCGTCTAAACGCATTTACGCTTCATGAAAGTAACCCCCTGTGTAACAAAACGAGGCACCCGTTGCAAATTCATCTGACAAAGGTAACGGCAAGGAAGAGGAAAATATAGAATAGAAAATCGAACAATGATTGATTGATTGGCTATGGAATATCATATGGACACGGAGAGCGATGTGGCTCAATTTTGAGCGAGGCAATTGATTCACAGCTAAGTCAAGTGAAAGAGATACAGGGAAAGAACTTGCCGATAGCGAAGGTAAACAGTATCGATCGAGGAGATCTTAAGAACGAAACAACATTCTCATAGATATCATTGGGATCGTCTACGACGTAGGACCCCCACAAAACCTGTCATGCAGAGATGGGGCTATGCGCACGAAACAAAACGTACGAATCGTGGCCGACACGTTGCGTGTCGTGAATCTCGGGGTCTGGAACAACTCTCACAGTTTCGCTGAAACCGAGGGTAAGAGCATTGCGATGACAAATCTTGTGGTCCGCGAGTATGCTGGGAAAAAGGTCCTCACCACAAGCGACAGCATAATCATCAAAATTGAGGAAAACGACGGAGACATACAGAGGCTCCAAACCTGGTGGCATCGTGAAGGCCAGTATCAAGCGTTTCGCGAACTGGAAATATCGAAAGCATCGTCATCATCAACAATGAATGAGAGCGCACGCAATGAGACAGATCGAGCGTGAAATCAAAGCGGAAAAAGGTAAAGCCAAGAATCCCGAGGTTGCACGAACTGATGTGGCAAGCAGGGTCAAGCAGGCCAGTGTACAAGAAAGAAAAGAAAAATACAGTATTCCTCGGAAACAATCCCAAGACGGGGAAGAGCGACGCAGCAAAACGAGTTAATAATGATAATAATAATAATATCATTCCTCCGTGAATTAGGGAAGAAAATAGAAAAAAATTCGGGGGAATGAAGATCAACAGAATTCTTGCTGCAGAGGATCTCGATCGAGGTCCAACGGGGGAACAGGGCAGCCGTCAGCGGTTCTCTACCATCTGGGCCTGACCT